ACGACAAATCTTATACAGAAATGAAGGTAATGTAATATATTTCTCTGTTTCTTGCATAAACCTACATATACGCTTTCCAGGTCTTCATTCCTTCAAAAAGGTTTAGATGAACTCAATGCATTTAATGTGGTATTTTGGTACATTTTTACACAACAGCTATACATTCAAAATTCAACCGCATAAATGCTCAAAAGACAAATGGTTTGGAAGTGGGATTTAAAAAAAATGTACAAGCTGTAAAATAGAAAATCCCTGTGAAGCAGCCAAAAAATGATTTCATTTGCTGCGAGTGAATTATTTATTTACACACATTATTTGACACCATCATTAAACATTCCAGAAATTCAACCTACTGTACGTTATGTAAGTGTGCATTTGGCAAGAAGTCTAGAGTTGCTTCCTGTTCCCAGAACATACAGAGTATGTCTCATTATGCTGACAGGAAGAGAGTTTTGAACTTGGAGCTTGTCTCGACCTTTGTCCCTCAGCTTGGTCCCCCTCACTGATCCTCCTGGCCTCGACCCTCTGGTCCCAACTCGGATTCAGTGTTATTAGAGAATATATCATAATCTTTTCATCCTTTTCCCTGAAATGAGCTTAGACACACTAGATCTCAAATAACAAGTTCATCTCCCTGCATTGTTGTCCGTCACCTTTTGAACTTCAGTGAGATTACTTCAGCAATGTTTCACTTGGTTCAGCACATCACCACTGATTTATCACTCAGAGTTTAAATATTCATTCAGAAATTTATGTCCATGAAGCTTATTGTTCAGTGCTCAAAGGCCCTGGTGTGAATAAGTCAGTCAACATGACGATGCACATTCTGCTGATTAGACAGAGAGACCAATCACACAACAAACAATAGAGCTGCTCAAATGTTCTTTATAGATGTAACTCATGTGGGATGGAAAGCTATCAAACCTAGCCGCAGGCTACCAGCATAGAGAAGTATAAAGAATCTCACTGCCAGTTGTGAAAGGCGTGATAAATCACAGCTCACGGCCAGATGAGTCAGAGAAACTGGAAATTATTGCTTTTGACATTTGGAAACATTTTAGCATTGGCAGTAAGTAAGTGAATGTTATCGGTACAAACTCCACAGAAGTTGTCAGTATTCGTTTACCTTGATTTTTTCATGGTGTGAGAAAATAACTTTCAGACACTTCTACAATTTATTGTGAGAATAAAGATATGAGACAGACAGAAAGAGTCTACGAGAGAATTCAGATGAAGGGGAGAGGAAGAAGTCATACATCTATTTGATTCGGATTGCACACATTTATCACATTTATTTAAGCGGACAAATTGTTTACATTTGGGGTCAATTGAGATTTCCAAGTAAATTGTTTAAATATTGATTGTCATTTCAAGAAAATAAGAGTTGACAAAAGGTGATTTCTCTTCTGCCTGAGACTCATTTCAGCCATTGGGAAATTAACTAAGACTTGGATTATTGAAGAAGTTGTACGACGTTTACATTTTAGCGTTTCTATTCATCTCCTCTCCCGTTGGGCGTCCATATATGGGCGTCCCTTGTGAACTGCTGTTTTTACAAATGACACCTACCCAGAATGCATCTAGCATCAGCTTGGCACCTTTTAACAATGTGTGAAAAAAGGCTATGCTCTGCTTGTGTCGGCTTGTGTCAAGAAACTGCTGTATATCACCAAAACAAGGGGGTGGAGGTGGTTCATGTGATATGTCGATTCATACGACACACGAGCCCCGACTCTGTGGGCTGTGGTTTGTTGCGGCTGTGTTTGGGGACTGATAAACACACGCCTCCTGTAATGCACGGACACAACGTGACCTGGGTTGAGCCATTTGTGAGCATCTGTTTCCAGCTCGTGAGAAGCACTTTGCATGCAAGTGTTTTACTGTGCACTCTAGGAATCACTTTAAAACTTTTAACGGGAGGATAAATTCAAACTGATTTCCTTAAGCTCAACATTTTTGGATGGTCCACCTCCGAAACCAATTTTCCCGCAAGATGTTTAAAAGAGAGCACGTCAGTGTAGCACGGTTGCTGTGTGGTTTTGTGCGCGGAAATGTACATAAACACACACCTGCTGCTGAGGGAAATCACAAGCAGATGCACCGGGCATCTACTGATGCACCCGGACGAGGATCCAGCCCAGCTCTGTAATTACTATCAGACACAAAGATCCATGTAGAAACTAGAACAGGGGAACACGTGGGAGACATTATCACCACGGCCACACGTGTGTAGAGTACATCAGGGCTTGAATATACATTGATATGGACATGATGATGCCTTAATCATGTTGATTTAATCATGTTGATAAGTCTAACAACCAGATTGGTCGCACCCTAGAGCCCTGATAAGACTGTGTTATAACATATTTTACCATTACAAAAGTCTAAAAGGATACAGATGAAATTCAGCAACACATTTAAGAAGGTCATAGTAGAGCCGGTGTACATTGAAATATATCAGAGAAAATAGCTCGCAAAATGTTTTGAAAGAGATCAAGAACCCCAAAAACAACTGGTTCATCTAAGGCAGTAAAAACTCCTAAACATGTATGTAAGAAAATCTGAGAAAATGCTTTATAACATGTATTTATACGTGATATTTCCCAGGTTACAGGTATCTGAGGAAGGCCATAAACACATAGCAAGGAGATAACTTCTGACTTCTCACTCCGTCCCCACGCAAAGAAGGTATAGCATGCAGAAGAAGGGTGTTACAGCGTGTGGTGTTACCTTGCTGTTCACACAGTTTCTGAACAGGTAATCCCACGTGCGTTGCGCATAACACAACACATAATGTTTGCTCATTAAATCCAGCTGCACTTGTTATTCTACCCTCGGGATGCTAAACAGTGGCTGCGATGTTAACATCACACCACCTCACAATATAGCCAATATACCTTCTTACCCCTTGCATATGTGATGGGTAGAGCTCTCCCCTCCCCCCCCTGCCTGTTTGGCCACACCACCTTAATTGGTGATGCCTAACAGGTGTGACCAGGTGCTCTTTAAATGGGAGCTTTTGCCCCACTAGAGCTAGAGGGGGGCTTGCTGTAGGTCTCCCACGGCATAGGCACAGCACTCGCCACGTGCGGATGGGTTTGAGCGGAATCTAGAGGTATGTCAGGGGTTTTCTGTTTCATGTTTTAATATGCTTTTTAGCAGTGAAATGTTTATTGGCGTTATTTACCTTTTCTTTCTTTTATACAGGAAATGATCAGGTGGTGCAACACTGAGCCTGGTCACTGCTGTTTTTGCCTTTGATTTAAAATAGATTATGGTTACCCGGTTTATATAGTATCTTTGATTATGAATTGCTAATTTGTTTTCTTTCTGGGTTAGTGTCTTTGTTTTGTCCTCCATATACAACCATTACTGCGCCCTATACTGGGGGTCCCTTTAATGCCAGTGCAGGTGGGCATATAGTAGGCCTACAGGGGGTGGCTCACGAGGTGGAAGGCCCTTTCAGTTTATTTTGTTTGTTTGCTGTGTTTTAATTCTTTTTGATTTGCTGTGTTTTCTTTCCTTTGACCTGTTGGTGGCCCCCTTGTCCCCTTTCACTCCCCCGCCCCGGTGGGCCTCAAGTAGTCACCTTGTACTGGTAGGGTACCCCAGTATAGTAATCCTTTTTCAAAGCATAGATTATATTTTGCCATAAAACCGACCAATGTTTCTGGATTGATTATTCCTTTTCTTTTAAATATTAAACCTACTTGTAAATAAAAAAAACATTGTTACAAAACTGGAACTTCACCTCTCTGCTCCCTTTTCTTTTTCATTACAACTGATATACTTTGGGTGAGAGTCCCAAAGTGACGTTGTCACCCTTGTGACCAGGCGAACGGCCGCCCCGGTTACACATAGAAAGAAACAGGATCTGTCTCATGCACATACAAGAAGACAAGGGCACATTGGTTTAAGATGGACCTCTTGTCCACCCATTATATCCTGTGAGCTTGGTTTGGTCTACCAACTTTGAATAAATCTAATGTTCTGAAAACACAGCCATGTACATGCTTTTTATCTCTTCCTTTGTGATAAAATTTATCAAGAATTGCTTGAATAAACAAAATATTTGAGGGTGAAGACAGACAGGACGTTTACATTCCTCCCTGCAGCTCAACCTTATAGTCAAAACATTGTGTGAATGTATCAGTTAATTTCCCACCGTAGGTGATTCATCAACAGCTTGATAGTTTATTTGAGTTATTCTGACTCCTATCTGTGAGGCTTTACACCGACTAGCGTGACCAAAAACAGAACACACTGTGTCAGTTGATTAGAGATCTGCACAATACAGGTTTTCTAATTATAGTTTGACCTTTTTCTTACTTTGACACAGTTTTCTTTAATTTCAGTACTTTCTAAATTCAAATCCCCTCCAGCGTTTCTGGGTTCCACTGAAGGTGACCCACATTTACTAGTCAAGCAAATAAATAGACCAGTGTCGCCATTTTCCTACTTTTTCTAAGCCATGGGTTACAGCAATATCCATCCTCATATAAAGCTGTCTGTTTACACAAACATAAACTGTTTGGAACGATTGCTGGCCTTTGCTCAGGCACTGCAATGTGAGGCGGAAAATATATTTTAATAAAGTCCTACGTTTATTGTTGTAATATATTGGAAACAAACTCCATCTGAATTGCAAGTCCTTGGCACTGCTCATGGCTGTGACAACAATGAAATTCAGGCTTTCCAAATATTTGAAAGTAAATCCAATAAAAGCATTCATGCTTGATATTAGACAGTCACATTATGAAAGATCTGGCTGGACTGAACCCCGATTGCGACACAACAACTCTCACACTGTTCTCAACTCTTAAATCTACATCAACCTGGTTCCAGGGGTAATCATGCAAACCATAACACGTTACAATGTGGTCCACGTTAACATTTTCATTGGATCCACTAAAAACAGGTGGTTTCGTGGCGCCATCTACTGGCACTGGCAGCGGCAATGCATCCGGGTCCTCTAGAATCTAGAGGACCCGGATGCATTGTCGCTGCGCACCAGCAGGTGTCACTGTCCAGCGAGGCGGCCATTGAACACACAGCCACCGGAAACGAACATCCTGGGCTACATAACACAATACATCACCAAAGCGGTGATGTTGTGTAACAGCGGGTTTGGTAAGTAGTTTCAGTTTAAATGTATCAAATTAGAACCAAACCGATAACGCGGTGACGCTAACCGTCTACCGTGTGCATCAGCCGGTGGTTTCATTCAAACGGGCCGGTCCGCCGGTCGCTCACGTTGCAGATGATGACAGTCGGCTCGTTGTTAGCCGAGCATGCTAACGTTAGCGCAGCCACGTAAACAATGGGCAGTTGTGGGAGGCTGGTTTCTGACTGTGTGTGTCAGTTACAAAGATGTAAGCTACCTTACTTTTTACTATTGTTTGGCTAAAGCCGGTAACTGTTTCAGTAAATGTAACGTTATTAGTTTGCCTCCTTTCTACGCTTAACGCGACCTCTGAATAAGTAACGTTAAGTTATCTTAGAGTCACTTAACGTCAACCAATAGCCGAGCTGTCCGGAGTCCCTCGGTAGGCAACATTGCTTTATCTGCAACAGTATGTGTTGCATAGAAGTAAAGGCGTGCCTTAAAAGAGGTGTAACGCTACAGTGTGACATCCGAATGACACATCTGGCTGAATGACACATCTGGCTGACTCTGTCCGCAGCTGCATCAGCATGCCTGTAGACGGTTCAGAGGACCGGGTGCCCTCCTCGCTCTCCAGCAGCAGTGCTGCTCTTACCCCGGGGGGGACGGACGAGGATGGGTCGACAAGGGGGTCGGCAATCTGCTCTTTTCCTGAAAACAGTCAGGGGTCGGAGGCCGCCGCTGCTTATCCGGCCAACACTGGACCCGGGGAGGGCAACAACGGTGGGATATACGCCACTCTCCCACCATAACATTACAGCGGAGAAGAATATTACCGTGTGCATCATCCGTCAAACCGATTCAGGATGAACTCGACGGAGTCGCCTCGGGTTCTCTCTTGATTCCAATGTTTTTGTCATCTGCGGTTTATTCCAGGTGGCAAGAGGTCCGGAGCCTTGCTGCAGATCGATCGACAGCGTATTCAAGCAGCGTCTGCCAGTTCTGGAGCCAATGAACTCCAGGGTCTTGGTGTGGCCGTCTATGACCATGACGTCCTTGAGCAAGGTGTCCTTCAGCAAGTGGACGAGGCAATTCAGGAGGCCAATCAGGCTGCTGCTAAAGCTGAGGCCGAAAAGGAATACCACTCCGTTCTAGATGATGTCAGGTAAAGGAAAACAACTCCACTAATGTAGAGGCTTTTTCTAGTGTTATTAGTTTTTTTTATGTTTGATGAAATATAGAGTAATACATGTTTTCTCTCAGACATATTCGGAGAATATATTCTTGATCTCTGAGTAAACTCAGATAAAGACGATTAAAGACAAAAAATTATTTTGTAGAGCAGTCAATTTTACACATTTCAGTCAAACTACCTTTTTTAACGACTGATATATCTTGCTTTTTTTGATGGTGCGTTTCAGGTCCGTCACTGTGTCTCTTAAACAAATCAACAAGATTATTGAACAGCTGTCTCCGTATGCTGCCTCCAGTAAAGATATCAGTAGGAAGATCGAATCTGTCAAACGACAGAAAGAAAATAAGGTAAAATATTAAATATGACACACTGAAAATTAATAATTTTAATAATTATAATTAACGATAATATTTCAGGAGAAACAGCTTAAGAAAGTCAAAGCCAAACAAAAGCGACTTCAGGCCATTCTGGGAGGAGAGGATACCGAAAGGGTAGAATTAGAGCTTCTGGCAGAGGATGAGGATGAAGAGGAAGGTGAGGTTTTTTTCTGTGATTTTTTTTTTCACCATTTTCACTCGACTAAAAGCATCATCAATTAGGAAAACATGATCATGTCTAAAACATAACCCATTCTGTTTAACATGAACCTTATACTTTGATGTGATAGAGCTGAACATGAACCGTATAGAAATCCCAGAGGTTATAGTTAATATTCAGCATTTCTCACCAAATGTGTTCAGTGCATTTGCTTTCTCAAACACAAACCATTAGAAAAACTCAAATTTAAACCTGAAGCGTGTGCACGAGAGGCAAGAAAATGGGCTCCTGATAATCAAAACATGAATTCATAATGCTATTAGTGACTAAAAAGAACAGTCATCTTGACTGATACTTTACAACACTGCTTAATGTGTGTGTTGTACAGAGGCCGGTCCCTCCACACTGGGCAGCATGCTCATGCCTGCTCAGGAGACCGAATGGGAGGAGCTTATCCGGATGGGACACATGACTCCTTTTGGAACCCGAATTCCACAGAAAGAGGAAAAAAAGAAGCCTCGAAAAGTGATGCTTGCTGAAAACTCAGCCTTTGACCTCTACCTGGCTGACCAGGCCAAGATGGCTACCGAGAGGAAGAGAGCCCCTCCTCTCAAGAAGAAAAAAAACTCAGGACTCAGTCCCAATAAAGCCAAGGGAAAGGCTGGAAATGGAATTGTTTCCTCTTCCAAGGACAAAAAAATTAAGAAGCGCATACGGAAGCTGCAGATAACGGCTCTCAAGGCCCATCCTAAGGCGCGGCCTAAGGCCGAGCCAGGGCTGCCGAAACCAAAAGGCAAGCGTCACACTGAGGGCGAGGAGACCGACAGCGAGGGTTCAGAGTACCTGCCCAGTGATGAAGGCATTGATCCCGACCAAGAAGAAAGAGAAGCCATGGAAGAGGGCTTTGGGGAGGATGACGAGGAAGAGTACGAGTTGAAAGCGCACAAGAAGAAAAGCGGAGGGAAAGGGAGGAAGAACAAAGAGGACAGTGAAGATGAATATTACCCCGAGAGTTCAGATGAGAAAGAGGACAAAAAAAACAAAGATGATGGAGATATAGAGTACTACAGACAGCGAATACGGTAGGATTCTGCAAAATCCTTGTTATTAACTTTTATACACGATTGATTGTGTTGACTCACAGTTTTATCATTTGTGAACAATAGATTTCTTTTGGGATTTATAGTTGGATGCAAACGTGCAAGAAGTTTTTCATCAGCAGTCCTACTCAAAAGAGAAAGCATTAAATCACAGGCTCAATGAACACCAGATTCAGCCTTTAACCTTGCTTCACATTTGCGATGGCGCTGGTGCAAATGTGCTATTGTTATTCCCTTTCGTTAAGGCGAACAGCAGTCGCTCTCCGCTGGCTCCATAGTGCAGAAGGAGAGTTAATCCCAGATGAGATTGGCAGCTGTTTCTTGACTAAGCAAATTCTCCCCCTGCTCTTCTTCTCTCTCTGCTCTCACACTGGCCTAATTATCCTCCTGCACATGGTTTTATACGCTCACTCTCTCTAATGCTCAAATTAATGGAAGAGCAGCCCTAATGAGATTTCATATTTATAGCTGCCAAATAAATTGTGTTGGCATGTGTCCTTTTTCGACACCGCAGTGATTGAATGTCAATTCACGGCACAGACGAGGCACGGATGGTGAGGCTAGCTTATGCGAGGAATGATATTATTAGAGTGGGCGGTATTTGTAGTTAGGTGGGAGGTGGAGGGGGGAGGGATGGGGATGCAGAAAAGTGTAATTAACTGAACCAATGCTTAGTCTTGACTTAATTAGAGAGTGTGGTCTCCCAGGCCCGGTGAAAGGACCAGTTTTGAGGCAGGGTGACAGGACCGGGCCCAAATGAAGATAGATTCTTATCCCCTCCACCTCACACCTTTCTGGGGAACTCACACTACTAATTGTCTGTATCAATCTTCATTTGCTGCGTGACGATTGTGCCTCTAACTGCCCTCTCTACTGCACCATTAAAACTGTTCCCCTTTACTTTTCCCTTTTTTTGCTGGAGATGTTCCACCCCCTCAAGGGAAAGAGCAACAACTTGAAACATTTGCTATCCATGTAGACTAAGAAGACTTAAAATAAATCCGTTAGTGTATCCATCCATTCTCTACACCTTCTTTGAACTGCACCACATTTCTAGAATTGTGGACTTACAATACACCATGGATTGCTCAATTTCACTAAAATATTGTCAAGCACCACTTGATAATTGACAGCTAACAAAGTGTTTAAAGAAGAAACCGTCATTTTTTTTCACTTCAAACTCAGCAAGTTTCCAGTGTTCGCTAATATTGACTGAAGCTCTTCCAAATAAAATAAGGAAAGACATTTTACCACCTCATGTACCTCATTATAATGTGCTCGTTCTCTTACCAGGAGATGGAAGCGACAACGTCTTCGAGAAAGGGAGGAAAAGAGGGAAAGAGGGGAGGAGCTTTCTGATGACAGCGATGAAGAATTCGACGAAGGCTTCAAAGTGCCGGGCTTCCTCTGGAAAAAACTTTACAAGTAAGTTCAGCTTGAAACATTCTTATCTCCAATACTTAGACATTTTTTGAGGAAGTGATAGTGTTTATAACTCATAGCAATAAAATAATAAGTGTATGATAAATAACTGGGGTTTTTATTATCATACGTATCAGTTCAAAACTTTTCTCGTGGTACTTTGCTGACCATGTCTTTCTTACACAACGACGTTTTTCCCAATTTACTACAAGTTGTGTGTTTCTTTGTTTGGTTTTGGTAATCACATCATACTTAGTTCATCACTTTAAGCAAAGTGACATATGGCTTGCAAGCTCACATCATTCTCCCAGTTAGTATGGATCGGGCAATTTACCGCCAAGAGTAATTGAACCAGATCTCTGTTGAAATAAATTATTCTGCCAACCTGTCGTTTGTGCCCTCCATAGATGCTTCCGTGCATAGGTATGATTAGTCATTTGTTCATGTGTTTATCACATTGTCAGGTACCAGCAGACAGGTGTGCGCTGGATGTGGGAGCTCCACTGTCAGCAGTCAGGCGGCATCCTGGGAGACGAGATGGGATTGGGTAAAACCATCCAGGTCATCTGCTTTCTGGCTGGACTAAGCTACAGCAAACTGAGGACCAGAGGTTGCAACTACAGGTACACACACACACACACACACACACACACACACACACACACACACACAAAATTGTGGCCAGAGACTGTGTGTCTGTGCAGTATGAATATTTGATTAGGGGGATTTCTGCTTGAGAGTGTTCATCTGAATTATTAAACATGTTTCAATTATCAGACTCTTCACTTTCTTACTGCAGACGTCAGAGGAAACACTGACACTGTGTGTGTGGGTGTGTGTGTGGGTGTGTTTGTGTGTTTTTGTTTATGTTGGAGGGGAGTAGGGCGTAATACGAGAAGAGTTGGTGTCTTCATGAACACATAAAATGAATTTTGGAGACATGAACTAGTACAGCTGTGTCACAACAAATTCACCATGGATAAAATGGCGCAGTTGTGTTGATAATCTGGTTTTAGTGCACAACAACATTTGTGCATTGGGGGGGTGGAGCTTCCCTGATGGTCAATACTCTGTCTACTATAGACGCCCACAAATTGATTGCTCGCAAACTCAATTATGGCCAAGTATCAATAGCTTCCACCAGGCGGAGGTTCATACCAGCCCATTAGTGTATCTCTATGCGCGTCTGTGTGTTTGACACAGCTCTTGTAGATCTTCACAGAGGAGCTCAGGGTGCGACCATCCACCTTCTTGCATGAATTCAGAGCATGTGTGGAGCGGTGGAGGTTGACTTTGTAGTAGGATGATTCTGCTGCATTATTGTACCTGACCGCTCAGCTTTCTATAATTCCCAGATGCCTGAATGCATTACATGTTTTTCATGCAAGCAAAGCTCTTTTCTAGCCTCCCTTTTCTATAACCGAGTATACAAACGATGAGTCTAATTTGCTAATGAAATTCGCTGAGGTTATCCAGAGTTAAATGGACCCTGAGTTCCCTTGTTACACATCATCTTTGCTTGTCTGCAAGTAAACGTCTGCTGGCTGTGTGTTTGGTTGCAGGTACGTCGGTCTGGGTCCGACCGTCATCGTGTGCCCGGCTACGGTGATGCACCAGTGGGTAAAGGAATTTCACACCTGGTGGCCCGCTTTCAGAGTGGCTGTGCTACACGAAACTGGCTCGTTCACCAGCAACAAGGTAATTGTGTGTTTGCGTGAGTTCGATTTTCAGATTCATATGCAAGTTTTCCACCGAGTCTTTTTTTCCTCTAGGGGGCACTAGTGGTCTGTTTTGTAGCATGATCTCTTCATCATCTCCCCTTCTTTCTCCTCAAGCCACATCGAAGGAGATGCTCAAGCTGCCACAGACGATTGCAAATTGTACTGACAAAAAACCTGTAATTATCATGTTTTTTTGTTGTTTTTTTGTAGGAAAAGCTTATTCCAGAAATAGCAGAATGTCATGGCATCCTGATTACGTCTTACTCAGCTGTGAGGAATATGCAAGACACTCTGCAGCGTTTCGATTGGCACTACGTTATACTGGACGAAGGCCATAAGATCCGGAATCCAAATGCTGGAGTTACCACTGCCTGCAAACAGGTATGGTCTCACAACACTCACACACCAATGGACACATACAAAATAACCAGAACATTAGAAGCACACGCAGTTTTTCTTCGTGTGAATACTTTTAAACTTTGCTGAGTTGAAACAGTAATATTTGCATTTGTGTTAGTCTACTATTTCTCACTCTACTTTACTTCCATTCCTTTTTGTGCATCAACATCCAACCTGCTGACATAACTTTGACCTTTTTAAAGACACATAATATTCTTTCTTCCCTCCCTCCAGTTTCGCACTCCCCACAGGTTCATTCTGTCAGGCTCTCCCATGCAGAACAATTTGAAGGAACTGTGGTCTCTGTTTGACTTTGTCTTCCCCGGCAAACTGGGGACATTGCCTGTCTTCATGGAGCAGTTCTCTGTGCCAATCACCATGGGAGGATACAGCAACGCCTCAGCGGTGCAGGTACTGGAACAAACAAATGCAAACTGAGGTTTTCATTCAATTTGGCGCCTTAAGCATTCTTTTAAGGCAAGTAAATCCATCAAGGATTGTCGCTTCATCTGGAACATGGTTCACATTTTTAGAAAATAACAACAAAGAAGCAGTTACTGAGCATATGGAGGTTGTTATGCTTTGTCTTGTATTTTGAATTGTGTGATTTGATTTAGGCTATTTTAATTTACAATGAGGATTAAAAAAGTTACTTTAAAAAGCAAAAATCAGGATAAAAAGAATGTCATGCAATGTACAAGGAAAACACTGATTGGTGTTGCTTTACCTAAAAAAAAAGGCTGCACATTGTTGATTTAAAATTGAAATGTAAAAGCCATGAATGAAACCTTGAATTACTCAACACAGCTTTACATAAAAGTAAATCTTTAGCATAAGGAGGAGGGAGCAATTAAGGGCAAAAGAGTCGCTTGCAAACGCGAGTCACATGTCGGCACAAATTTGGGGAGCTCGATGTTGGCGAGTCAGAAGGAGAGATGGCGGATCAACTGAGCCGTTAAGTGCAATGAAGAATAATGTAGGTCCATGCAAAGGAACTTCAGTACATCCCCAGTGTCTGCGTGAGAGAGGGATTGAGGGAGAGGCTAAAGTGGAGAGTCAGTGAGCTAAATTGTAGGCCTTTGTCATTAGTGCTCAATCGTTAATAACCCACTGACTGTATGGATTTAATTATTTAAGCTGGCTATTGATGCTTCTTCCGCTGTCGATAATAAAAACCTTTACTAATTATTAATGTTATTAAATGGTCAGAGGGCTAAGCTCTGCTGCCTATTCTCTTTCTCGAAATTCTCTGAATGGCAAAGCCGGCCGTTGGCCGACGTTCCCGTGTGTGTGCAACTAGATGTATGTGAAAAGGCATGTGGACGTTGGATCCATTACTGAAGCACACATTTGCATCCCCATGTGGATCCATTTGGCAGCTTGTGTAGAGATCACTGGATCTTCTTCCTTTCCCCTCTGACCTCCACTGAGCCCAAAATCCCACCATGTTTATCGTCCCCTCCAGCTTGGCAGAGGGCGTCTTTGATTCCTCTCTGGACCCCCAGTGAGTTCATGTTTAAAAGGCTAACTGGCCCTAAGTACTGACTCTGGATGAGGTGCAGCAGGACATTTGCATTGGGTTTCCGGATGGTGGGGGTGGGACTAAAGCCCCCCCCCCCCCGCCCTCCGTCTACAATGGGGCTGGCCAGTTGTGGCGATGAAAGACGAGGGCTTGGTCCCTCGAGACCAACAGCACTCTGATCAATATTTAATGGCTTGTGCTGCTGAGAGGGACAGCAACATGCGGGGGGTGATGAGAGAGGGCAGAGGAGGGACTAAACGACAACCGTGCCCCAAGAAACATCCACGCTGGCAGGTGTGGAGGTGGTTGTTTGTCACCCTGAACTGAATCTGGCTTTCGTCTTAAAGCAGTTTTTATTTGTGCTGTTTCTTCTCAGGTCCAAACTGCGTTTAAGTGTGCGTGCGTGCTGAGGGACACCATCAATCCTTACTTGCTCAGACGAATGAAGGCAGACGTCAAGGCCAACCTCTCCTTGCCTGACAAAAATGAACAGGTACTCGTCATGCTCCAAGGACATTTGACCCCGTTCTGCCTAAGTATCAAACAGCTTCTCACGCCTGGTTCTTTTAACTGGGGAAGTGTTTATCTGATCGGATGTGACTGCATGTGCCACGTCTAAAGAGTATTTGATGAAGGCGCCACGCTCTTGTCAGGTGAAACCAGCTAATAAAGTCCTAGTAAAGTAAAAGGAGCAGGTATTCATTAAGGTGGCTGGTCCCTGGTCGCTCCACGGGGAAGACGCTGGTTGGCGGCTCTGTCCACTTCAGCTCATTAAGTCGGCCCCGTGAGACGGTAGTGGCTCCAAAAACCCCTTGCTTACATCTAATTTCTCTCCTCTCACCCTGCACTTTATCAAAGGGCTTTAAAGTTGATGTTCACTGCTTATTACACTGTTTTACTCTGCCGTGTGTGTGTGTAGGTTCTGTTTTGCAGGCTAACAGAGGACCAGCGGCAGGTGTATCAGAGCTTCTTAGATTCCAAAGAGGTCTACAACATGCTCAACGGGGACATGAAGGTAAGCGTCGCTTTCATAGTTATCTTTTTGCGTGTTTGCGTCTTTACTTCGGACCCTTCGTGTTGACACACTGTTATGAAGACGAGAAGAGACAAAACCAAGTAGAAGACTTCCTGGACCCTCACATGCCGTATTGATTATTTAACGTCCTAACTGATGAATATCAGTTCACCTTTCTTCCTCAAAGGCACCTGTGTGTATTTCTATTCACTCCTGTACACTTAAATAAAATACATTGAAGAGGCATAAGTGCAATACATTTATTGTGACATGTACATTTTGTTAAATCCTTAATAGCTTGACTTTGGTATTTTTAAGATGTTCTCCTTTAGGAAACTCTGTTGTTGTTCTTCTCACATTAGCCAGACTCTGGAGAGAGCGACCATTTATCACCATTGACCAAATGGACGTGGTCGGAGAGTCGTGTTGACCACAGCGGATTCTACACACACACACACACACACACACAAAAAACACACTCATATGCTCTTACAGACATATTCAGTGGTCACTCTCAGTCCATTAACCACCATTACTAATGCAGTGGCCGTTGGACCTTTGTCAAAAAACACACCCTTTATTGTTGGTAAATAAATAATGTGACTAATTCCTGTAGACTAAGTAAATGTGTTTATTTGTTTAAAGGTGCAACACTGTAGAGAGGCCAGGTGTGTCGCCTGCCACCCGTTCTGTCTAATTGAAGGAAGCGGTCCTATTGTGTGTGTGTGCGTGTGTGCTTTTCAGATATTCTCAGGTTTGATAGCACTGCGTAAGATCTGTAACCACCCAGACCTTCTCTCCGGCGGTCCCCGTATTTTGAGGGGGATCCCAGAAGACCAGCTAACCAAAGAGGAACACTTTGGCTTTTGGAAGCGCTCAGGCAAGCTGATTGTCGTGGAGTCTTTGCTGCGACTCTGGTTCAAACAGGGCCACCGAGTCCTGCTCTTCTCTCAGTCTAGACAGGTTAGGAACACACTGCCCAGTCTTTCTGATCGACCAACCAATCACTCGGCTATCAAATTGTTTTATATCATTGGACTTTCTGCACACATCTTTGCATAGGCCTTCAATTATTTACATCCTAAATTGTCATGTCACTTGAATCTGTTGCTCTGTATTTGCTGCTGGCTACCTACAACATATGTACCTCTGTAAAACTGTGCATGTGGGACCGCGAGAGAGTGTATGTCAGCGAGGCCCCAGCTGTTGCAGTCAATACCAATGAGATTATACCTCAGAGGGAACCTGAGACCCTCCCTGTCGGTATCTCTGTCCATGTAATATTAATCTGCTCTAATCCTTTTAGAGATAATCCAAACCTCAGCCCCTCTTTCCCCCCCATGTTTCTCTCGCTGTATTTCTTTTCTCACTGTCTTTATCTCCTTTCCAGATGTTGGACATCTTGGAGGTATTTGTTACGGAGAATGAGTACTCGTACGTGAAAATGGACGGCACTACCACAATAGCTTCCCGACAGCCTCTCATAGCTCGGTACAACGAGGTAAGGATTATTCACCCCTAATGGGGTTTAAGTGTTTCCCATGAAAATCCTGTCCTGAGGGACAAAATGCATCAGTGGAACCCTGCACACCCTGAGGTGGAAACCCTACTTGATGGCATCTGTTGTTCAAACTGTGCACCTTGTTGTCTCTGTCGTCAAAAGAAAGGTTTCAGAAATGAATAACAGAGAATGAATAGACCCTCTGATTTTAAGAATTAACTAACATATTTCTTCATACAATGATAGAAATCAGCATAAAACTGTTGAAATGATGTTTAACCTCTGCCGTTTTGGCTTACAGGACAAATCCATCTTTATCTTCTTGTTGACCACTAAAGTCGGAGGTCTGGGAGTCAATCTGACTGGAGCCAATAGAGTCATAATTTACGACCCGGACTGGAACCCGAGTACCGACACACAGGTAAGACGGATATGTCCGCACACTAATACCTACACAAAGAGTTCTAAAAAAAAAACATTTTATTAGGTTAGTTATTTCTTAAAATGACCTACAGTAGTATCTTTTGGATTTTCTCACTTTTTCCTTATTCAGTTTAAGCCTCAGTAACCTTGACGCTTGTGTTTCAGTCAATGTAACCTCGTCATTTTTTGCATTCATCGCGCTTACAGGCAAGAGAGCGAGCATGGAGGATCGGCCAGAAGCAGCAAGTGACGGTCTACAGATTGCTGACTGCAGGGACCATTGAGGAGAAGATTTACCACAGGTCAGAGTGCTGTCTTCTTTCTTATGTTGATTTTGAAAGAAATCGGTAGTTGTTTGTTTTATCAATCCTGATCCGCCTTTGATGCTTTTACGCTTGACGCGTGCAGTCTCGTATTTTAGTTTTCTTTTCATTGACTTCACGCATTCGTGAATATTGGTAATGACAAACATAATTGCTCACATCACTGCTGTATTATGACTTGCACTATCCCGGGTCTCAGTAATTGAAAAGCTTTCCTGCATTATTAAACGGCCAATCTAGGACTTCTAAACTACTGCTCTGTTTGGTTAGGCTCTGTGAAGTGCCTTCAAAAAGCAAGTTAAAAGACCTGCAGGGATTCTATTTTGAAATCTACAGTATTGCAGTTAACTAATTTTCTCATCCGTCAGCCCAACTACTCTATGGTGACAGATGATTAGGGCTTCCTGCTGAGGTAAAATAACTAATTACATAGAAGTGTCTAATTCAATGTTTTATCTGTTCTGATTCAGGCAAATCTTCAAACAGTTTCTGACCAACCGTGTCCTGAAGGACCCCAAACAAAGAAGGTTCTTTAAGTCTAATGACATCTACGAGCTCTTCACACTGTCTGACCCTGATGGAGCTCAGGGAACCGAGACCAGTGCCCTATTTGCAGGTTTTACTCGTTTTGTTAATTTTTTTTCTTACCAGAGACATTTTATTATCCAATTAAGTTATCTGAAGCCCCTTCAGATAACTTAATTGGATAATAAAATGAGTGAAAATTCTCTAAGAAGGATTCACCAAGCAAGTTGTGTTTTTATGTCATCCAGGTACAGGTTCTGATGTCAAGGCACCCAAGAAACCTCAGAGGCCAATTCCATCACACGCTGTAAACCCTGGCAGTCCCCTACATAAACACTCCCTAGCAGACCACCACAAAACACACCGCCAAAGCACCAACCAAAATACACCGTGCACAAGACAAAATAACAGAGACTGGGACGGAGTTAAGCCGGCGGTGAAAAACTCCTCCAGCTCTCAACAAGTCCGAGACAAAGAGGCGTCGCTGATCAGCCCACAGAAACACCGGGAAAAGAGGAAGCACTGCGACTCCGTTGACTCGGACAAGCTCAAACATAAGAAGCGTAAGCACTCCAAGGACTCTCGGTGTGAAGGCCACCGCATCTCCCACTTGGTGAAGAGAAGAACCTTTCGGAAAGGGGAAGACAGCGAGACGGAGAAGAAATCGGATGATTACGTCTTGGCAAAGCTCTTCAAGAAATCCGGTAGGCCTTTTGGGAACAAACCCCATCGGCCATGTCAGACGGGGTTCATTGAGTAATTCTTTGTTGACTCGTATCCTCAGGTATCCACAGTGTCATGCAGCATGATACCATAATGGAGTCCTCCAACCCTGACTACGTTCTTGTGGAAGCGGAAGCCAACCGGGTGGCCAAAGATGCACTGAAAGCGCTCAAAGTGTCCCGCCAGCAGTGCAGGCTGTCCTTCAGTAGACCCCCTCCTCCGCCCGCAAGGTACAACGTCTCACACGGAGACACTTTGGTTGTTCGGAGCTCTGTTAATCGATTGTAACTCACGCGTTTTCATTTTTCCCCTTGTTTGATTTCTCTCTCAGGAAAAGATTTGGGCAAAAGAATAATTCTCTGCTGGTGGCACCGTTGTCTCAGTCCGTCCCGAATCTAAGCAAATGCAAGGTAACGGCAGTGTTATTTCAAAAAGATACTCTGCGTTTTTTTTAAATTCCATTTTGTGTGAATTCACCCGTTTTTCACTCTTTTTAGGATGCCGCTATCGTAAAGAAGTCCTTGTCAAAGAAGCCTGGCTCGGGGGCTCACTTCAGCGGGGAGGGCGCGGACAGTGACTCAAACTCCGCCCCGCTCTCGTCCTCCTCCCTGCTGGCCAAGATTAAAGCCCGTAATCACCTCAGCGTGCCCTCCGGTCAAAGAGAAGAAGCAGAAGAAGAGCAGGAGGACTCTGCAGCTCCTGGGACGAGCTCCGCCCCAGCTCCACCCACCGAGCATGACGAGCTGTTGGTGGACGTACGCAACTTCGTGGCCTTCCAGGCCAATGTGGACGGACAGGCCAGCACCCAGGAAGTGCTGGAGTATTTCAAACCGAGGCTGACGGAGAAACAGGCGCCCGTCTTCAGAGAGCTGCTCAGGAGCATCTGTGACTTCCAGAGGACTTCTGGTCAGGAAGGCATCTGGAGACTGAAAGAGCACTTCCGCTGAAAGGGGAAGCCTGAAATGTGATGGATGTTGTTTGAGTGTGTAGAGTTCAAGCCTAAAACATCTTTCTTTTTGTTATTATTTAATAAGATTTTTGTATATGTTGTCCAATTGAAACATCTACACTGATCAAACTTGAGAGAAATTGGTTTGTTAAGGTTGGACCATATTAAGACGTTTTACAGTGTAACAAACTGTGGGCTTAGCTGATAAACTCGGGTTATTATCATATATTTATCTATATCTTGGTGGAAAAGAGTGTTGCAATGTGAGTTGGTTTAAGATGTGTGTTGATTCAGAAATTGAAATTGCTTCCGTTAGTGTTGTTCCTGGTTATACTTGAATTCAGTTAATACTGTGTAACCGTGTTATTGAGCCGTTCAGGGGAATATGTTGTGGTGTTTGCTCTCAAACGCTTGTCAGATTGTGTAATATGCTTCTATAGGATGTAATAGGTGAGGTCACTATGCATAAATTCTCCCCCGACAATAGGGAGCGCTTCACTTTTGTAAATATGACTACACAGATCTTAGTATAGCTTTTGTAACGACCAATGGTTCTTTCTGACTTCAAATGAGCTACCTCACATTATTTGTGGAAATTGTCAAAAAACAACAATTTTTCTGCCATCTTATAAATTGTTGTATTTTTATTATAAATACTACACCTTTAACTGCTTGCGTGTTTGTTTGTTTGAACAGGATTACAATAAAAGAAGACTTTTCAAGTTAAACAATGAAACAAATCTTCAAAGAATATAATCAGCCGTTGACTGCAGGTCACCAAGCAACAAACGAGATTTCTGTGGTTAATTCACAACCAACACAACAAATGTGGCAGCTATGGATTCATTTTAGTTTTCTTAGGAAGAAGGATTGTGCGGAGCTGACCGGGGTCCTGAAATAAAACACAACCCCGCTGCTGTATAATGAAAGTTAACTTAGTTAACATCACTGCTGACCAGCGAGTGTTATTTCCTCAGGACACTTGAGCACCTTTGGACGAGGAGCAAAGCCGCTGACAGGAAGCGCGCACACCGACACTCTTGTCGGAGTTGGCTAGACCAAATATTGGGATAAAGTTATCAACCGTTATTTGATTTCAATTTTCTCCACGCACCTCACCGAGGTCATAATAACAACTTTATTTTCAGTGGTGCATAAATTAATTACGCGCATTTAATAACTAAAATATCATTATATTCCCCCTTTAATAACATAAACGCTGCACGCCAGGGAAACCCTTAATAGCGCGGGGCCCCGTAACTGGCCATTATCCGCCTGTAATGATATTACAGAACCAATTACGCGCCATTAGAAGGGATTTTCTGCACTTTATGTGGTTTAGTCCAATCCCGCTCTCCTCTTCTAAATTTCAGCTGCTTCTCGAAGCCTCATTTTGCCTCCACCTCCGAGACGCATGGCGTCTGCTCTCTGCCGTCCCCGATGCGCTTTAAAACTAATTGAAAGGGTCCCGCAGCAGATCATTTATTTGAGGAAGCGAAATAAATCGCCGGACCCCTTGCTGTGAACAAAATCAAAAATGTGGCCTTGTGAGTGTTCTACGTGCGCAAGCCCTTGTAAAGTGGACCCCCTAACACACCCTGACGGGCAATTAACCCACCAGACAGTCAATCTAAAACCCAAAAGCAGTCATCCTCCTTTTTTTAATATATGAAAGAACCACATAAAAAAGTGCAGCGGGCATGTGTGCATGTTTATAGTTAGGAGAATATGCTTGACTCTGGAATAACAATCACTTGTGATGAATTTTTTTTTTTGAGACATTATAGCAGAGCTGCCGTTTGCCACCATGGGTACTTCTCTCTCCCCCCACCTCTCTCCCTCTTTCTATCATCCCCCAACACACACACACACACACACACACACACACACACACACACACACACACACACACACACACACGGACACACACGCCAGCGCACACACCAGGGGTTGGGGTGAGAGAGACAAAGCCGTGATAATCCGATTAGGACCAATTAGGCGTGAGATTCTGCGACACTAGCTGAAAGCCTTAACACTCTGTAGACAGTTATACAGTTATAGAGACATCTGGACCCTCCCAGAGAGAGAGAGAGAGAGAGAGAGAGAGAGAGAGAGAGAGAGAGAGAGAGAGAGAGAGAGAGAGAGAGAGAGCGTGTGTGTAGGACAGAGAGGGGAGAAAGAGAGAGAGAGAGAGAGACAGGGGGAGAGATGTGGACACTCCCAGACAGAAAGTCAGTGGAGTGCAGCAGCCACTTCTCTCCAGAGCGGGAAATCACTCTCCTCCGCATCCTCGCTGCAGGTACGATGCTCTCCCGCCTCAAACTTTGGATGATCTTCCGAAATCGCGCACGCCGCCAACTCTTGTTGGGACGAATCCATGTCTTCATTATTTTTTTTCTTCTCTTTCTTCACCACGGAAGTGAATGGCACAGCTTTTATAGGAGGGGAGTCTTTGGGCTGAAACTTTTGTCATCTGTTCCATAGGTTCGCAGCTCCGAGACGCGCCGGGATGTTCTACTTTCACTGCCCGCCGCAGCTGGACGCGGAGTGCTGTCGCTCCAACACGCGTGAGTTTTCTCTGCGACGTTTTCACAGCAGCGTTTTCTGTGGATTTTAAATGGGTTCCTTAAAAAAACAGAGTCTGAAAAGTTGACTAATCTTCAGGCTGCTTTCTTGCACACGCGAAGTATATTGTTTGGAGGACCGAGAATAAAGGCCTGAGTAAATGTTTTCTTTTTCCAGTTTTTATTTTTAAATTATCCCAATTAATAACAAAAAGGACACTAGCAATAGTAAACATTACTATAATTATTAAAGAAAAGCTTGCATTATAATAACAACTTTATACTCCACAGTTAATCACAACAACACTATGGAAATATATATTTTCATCTTTCTAAATATTAACTTAAATGGCTTTGAAGTAAATCCGCGAGCAATTTATCTTTCCCTTAAATCCAGAGGTGAACATGAGCGGTTACATCTTATTTTTTATTTTCAGTCTGTGTGAGAAGCGCTGGTGGTTTGGCCCCGGGGAAGAGGGGTCGTTTCGTCCCGGTCACAGATGTCGGGTGTCATGGCTCTTAGTCCGTCATGGTTCCCCTCAGACTCCCAACATCAATGTTTCATGCGACTAAAAAAAAATACCAAATGTGCCAAAGATGCTGTCTGTTTTAGCCAAAATGTTTTTTTTCCTCTTTACTTGCAACATATTTTGAAATAATCCAACTGCCAACATGAAGTTTGAGACCTTGTTTTATTAAGTCTCTAATTTCTCTACAATAAACTTGTTTTCTCTAGTGAATGCAAGCGGCTTCGGCAACCACGCCCCGGCTGATTTTGATGATGGATTTCTACGAAGAAAACAGCGCAGAAATAGAACAACGTTTACTTTGCAACAGGTAAAACCATATATCCCGAATAACAAATAAATAGAACTAAATAGAAACGGATGTATATTCTGCCACAAGCCAATTATAAAACAATTGAACATGAATAACTTTGGCAGAAGGTTGTGTTAAAACTACTTTTTACGATTGGTTTGATGTGATGAAAACGTAATAGAAAGATAGATAGTTGCCTCACACACATGGAAATAAAAATACAACATTAGGAAACATTTGAAGACAAACGTGTCCATTTGAAGATCCTGCCTGATAGAAATGCCGCCATGTGAGCAATTCGTTAGTAAAACAATAGTTCAGCCTGTAGGCCACGTTACTGTTTCCTCCACTGCTCTGTTCCACATGTGCACGAGTTCATTCTAGATCTGACGACGATATCAAGGAACAACGAAACCAGAAAACGTGAAAAGCCTTAAACGCAAACGTGCAAACACATCGCCGAGAACCCATTTTAAGTGTAACCTGCGTGTTCTGTGTCCATCCAGCTGGAGGCTTTGGAGGCCGTCTTTGCCCAGACTCACTACCCCGACGTGTTTACCCGGGAGGAGCTGGCCATGAAGATCAACCTGACCGAGGCCAGGGTGCAGGTAGGCTGCAGCATGCGCGCGGTGTCCCGGGCCACGTTCGACCAGGCGCGCCGGGGGTAAATGACGCCACTCTGTCATTCCGGCAATGCACTTTAATAACATCAACATAATGGTGAATATTAGATTAGCTTGATTAATCGGTCATTCATAATTAACCAGCGATAATGTCCCTCTCTAATTTGTCCGCGTCTCAAAGGGAGGAATACATCATCCGTGCAGGTCCCCTTTCCGTCCGCGCAGACAGGAAACCATGTGCGCTTTGAAAGAGGGGAAATCTCGACGCTTCCAAAACTCTCTCACCGGCTCTCTCTTCTTCACACACACACACACACACACACACACACACACACACACACACACACACACACACACACACACACACACACGCACGCACGCACGCATATAAAAAAAATAACACACACGCGCCTTAAATTTGGCAATTTATATTCCGGTCCTGCCCTGCACATATGCGCAGTTAAACATGGCCACATATAATTAAGTTATGTGTCCTGTATGTAATTTCCCGCATTCCAGATTTGCTTTTGGGTTTTGTTGTGAGCACAGATCTAATTGTGGGAAATATAATAGTTTGCCTTTTGTTCCCCAGGGTCATTTTACTATCGCTTAAACCCAATGGCGGGGTTGATAATGGAATCCAGCGCTGTAAATTAGGGATTGTAAACAAATTATTCCCCTCCTAATCCGATTACCACATTCCTATTATTAAATCTGAACATGAATCCACGGCAGTATGCAGGGATATTAAACTTACATTATTATTAGAAAATAAATTTCCTTTCTGTTGTAGCGTTATTGCCCCCCTTTTTGTAAAGTGTCAATGGGCCTCCCCCGCATTAAGAGCACGCTGCAAATTGAGATTAATGGAGCAATTATAGCCCATTCAGAGACATTGGCTTTGTTTAAAAGTCCATATAGTAACTTGGGGGGGGGGGGGGGGGGGGGGGCGCGACTTCTAGCTGGAAGGTGCAGGGGTGAGATAAGTCCATTGGTTGTATTGTTGTCCCGCCACCAAAATGTTGTCTTTTCTTTATGCCGAATGAATGCACGTTTTGTTTGGCTGTTGACATCTCCGGTACAATGGGAGGGATGCAGAGCACATGCACACCGACTCCAACCTCCATTCACACATCGTGATTAATGCCCGCTAGAACCATGTCCTAATCGAATCTGATGTTGTCAAACAATCACTAAATAGGGAAATAAACGACTTCATCATAGCTGCCTCTCTCTCTCGGGCAGCACAACTGTCAGTGGGAAGTCATTAAAATATGATAATGAAAAATTGCTCAATTAAATGTTGTTAAAGGCAGTGACCTTCATTCGATTAAGATACCACAACTTGACTATATGTTCTCAACTGTGTGGACGGGGATTTTTGGGGGGATAATTCATGGACTGTGTTAAATTAGAGTGCTCGAGAATTATGCACTCAAACTTGAAAGTAAATTGACACATTTGCTAGATGTGTTGACAGGATAGGGAAAAATAATTTTGTAAGTTTGCACTTACTTACAAAAAGAGAGAAATTAACAACTTGGTAAGAATCAATTTGCAATAAAGATGGATTCAATAAATAAAATAAATGGTCCAAAGTGCTAATTTGTCAGGAATTGCAGCCGTTCTAATTGGTGATTTAATTTAATTGTCTTCCCTTTTCTTTTTTTTCCTGAAGGTTTGGTTTCAGAATCGCAGAGCAAAGTGGAGGAAGACAGAGCGAGGGAGCGCAGACTCCGAAGGAGGGAAAGAGCAGATGAATGACGGCACTCCTGCATCCCGAGGCATCAACTCTCAGTCCCCAGTGGACCACAGCAGAAAGCAGAAAGAACCGATGGAGATGCAGCAGAGGTGAGAAAAGAAAGTAGGATTATTGTTGTAGCTGTTTTTGCTGTGAAACAATATCCTGGTGGATCTAGGTGATGGAAAGAAAAGGCGATATCTTTTCCACCAGGAACTGCCACCACAAGATTCTTGCAGCCATGATCATTTCTGTAGATTACAGTGTCCTTAATAAAGACAAATTCACCAATTATGCAACGATTAAAGCTACCGAGGAAGCAGCTCTATATTACACATTTAGAAAAAAAACTTCCAAAAATGTTTCAATAGTATTATTTGATGTTCTCTAACACTTGCCAAATATGTTTTCTCCAGTATCAACAGGACAGTGGGTCCAAGTGGTCCGTTCTTCCCGTCTTGTATACCAGGCACACTCCTCAACTCCGCCACCTACGCCCAGGCCCTCTCACAGGTCGCCACACTGAAAGGTAATTATGATTCTCATCTACACGCAAAGAACAAATGGTGACTGTGATGGTGACGGTGATTGAAAAATGTCCCGCTCTCAGTTGTCTCATTTGAAGTCCCGCGTGTGTTATTTTTCAGGTAATGGCTTGTGCTCCTGCTGTGTTTCTGACCCCATGGGCTTGTCCTTCCTGCCGCCCTACGGTTGTCAGGGCAACCGCACGGCCAGTGTGGCCGCCCTGCGCATGAAGGCCCGAGAGCACTCGGAGGCCGTGCTGCAGTCAGCCAACCTGCTTGGTGCGGCAACCGGGCCCGGTGCCGGCGCCGGCGTGGGAGTCCTGTCCGGAGTCGGCATGGGCGCAGCCGGGATGGCGAGACCCACAGAGGCTCCCGTCACTTTGGGAAGAGGAAGAGACAGCTCCAGTCCCAGCAGCCCGGCCACCAAGGTCCCAGTGCTGGGTGGCAGCCATGACAAACACCCTCACTGCTCCAAGGAATCACTGGAGAAAAAGTGAAGCGCTGGACAACAACATGGATGTACTGATACTCTAAATCTTTGTGATCGTGCCTGTTATTACTACGCTACTCTGGTCCTATGAGCAACTAAGCACAGCTACTGACTGACTCCACAAACCTGCCTGGGAAAATCATATTGATATCACAATGTATGGATGCAACATTTAAATATTTATTTGACTGTAAATTATTCTTGTTTGTGAGAAATGCTTAATATTTGGGGCCTTGTTATCCCCATAGAAGCACAAGTGTGGTTTTGGATCTATATCTGTCTTCGTGAACTCTTGGACTCTTACTTGATGGACTAAGGTTGATACAACATGTGTGCAAGAAAATCCTATTTGATAATGTGAATTTAAGTAATGTTCCTCTCGTGTTCATAAAGGGGACCGACGCTTACATTGTTAATGTCAATGCATGTAAACTGTAGAACTGATGGCAGGACATTGAGGACTTTGGAGGATTTTGGCAATAGGATGTTTACGCCATCAGGTCATTAATGGCCTCGAACAATATCTCATTCATTTGATTTTAAAGTGAAAGTGAAGTTACATTTTCTTTTTCCGTGTGTAGATGTGTACATACAGGCGGGCAGAGCGGTGCTTGTCCCGTCCACTCTGTTAGCACATCAGTAGTTCCAGCAGACAGGAACCACACCAGTCCTGTTGTGACATGTTCTTTAAAACAATTAAAGATGTAGTCGCTCATGTTCCTCTCCTGTTGCCTCGCGCTCCAGCCATCTGTTCGGATACATTATTTATCAGTTTCCTTTAAAGCCGGCAGAGGAGAGCAATCGTGACTCTTATTATTTATTTACTTTTAGGAATGCTTTCTCCTGCTCTCTCTAAGCATTTTTTAATAAACCCCATTAAACATAATACATACTATTTATTAATGTTGAATTTACGTATAGAAAAACATCATCTCTCATCACCTCAGGGCTCTTTACACGGCAGTTTATCACAGGCAATACATTGGTTGACGCACTATTCCTAAATATCTCTTATCACTGGAATGACTGTTGAAAAAGGGGTCAGCTGATCGGAATGAGAATACTTAACCGCGGAGCACACAATTCAATTTACGTCCTTGAGGATTTTCAGGAAATTACTTTTGATAGTCAATAACACAATTAAGTAAACTACATGCACATTATCATGAATAATTGATAAGAAATTATGTATTACCATGAAGTACTGGTTCAATAATTGATGAGGCGACACCCTGGTGACACAGAAGAAGGAGATAATGTCAGAAGTCGTGCCAGGTTGTAAACAGAGTACGGAGGACCAACATCCTCTATTTATTTTACACCATTATGTGTGCATGTTGTACGCCGAGTACCCTACACATGTTCCAATAAAGCGATGCTTTCACCTTCTTGTGACATTTACACTTTTTACATTTTTATTTTTATTTACTTGCGACACCATATTTCCTTTCAAAAACCGCCCACCAGCCTTTTCAAATAAATGTACACTTTTGGTACCAAAACAGAAAAAATAAAGTTTCTAAATCAAAATTTAAATTTTCGTGCCCTATTTTCAAAAATAATAATAATAAAAAAATAATAATATTATACAGCAGGTACTCTGTTGTATCTACTGTATTTATGCAACAAATAATATTAACCAAAACATCATCACCTAATAAAATGATTTTGCTTTAAAACAGCTCCAGAGCAAAGCTGGTAAGTCCCCTGACATGGCAGCTAATGATAACACAATATCCTTATACAATCATCTCTTTTTCCAAAAATATACCAAAATGGACAACAGAAACCAGGCAACTCACACAAAAGACGTGAAAAACACATTCAATCTCTTCAAAATTGAATACAGTAGTTGTAGAATTTAATCATTAGCCAAAACAAAGGATGCTGAAGTTGTAATGACTCCGATCATCATTAAGTTCTGCATGCTTCCCATAATTCACTGCTTTAATATTTCATAAACAAGTCAAGTTGGTGTTGACATTCAGCTGTGCATGTGGCATCATTGATAATTTTCTGTCACCTAAAAAAAGTCCCAAAGCGGTTTTGTCTAGCATTGTTATATCAAATTAGCTGGAGAGCGGCCAGAAAAGCAGACAAACATGGTGAATATGGGGGACAGCAGTTGAACTCTGTTCTTACAGAGCAGTTAATGGGCTTCTTTTGTTGCAGTAATGAAATATTTTTGCAGGGATGTGGGGCAATATGTAGAGAAAACAGGGACACGTTGTCCACATGCACTCATCCACCGACAATATAAGGCACACAGAGAGAAACCGTACGCTTAAAAATACTGGCACACAATTATTTTGCTTGACATTTGGGCGCAACTCATCTTCACTTCCCAAGGACCCAGCTGACTAAATCAGACATAAACTACACTCAGGGCCGGTCCACTGAAGGGCCGAAGACGCCCCGCTAGAGTCTCATCTTTACTCTTCACTCTCCTGCAACATGCGTGATCAATAACCCAATCAATTAGAATCAATTAAGCTCATTTCAGAATGGAGATAATACAAACAATGCATTTCTTAATGCAGCAAGTAATGTGCCTTTCTGCTGTCTGCCACATAACCACAGCTCCGCTTCTCCTTACTCAGCACAGTGAAGAGCATCCTCAGCAGTCCTCAGTAGCGTAACAGGACAACTATGTTGAAACAAAGTTGGTTGCATTGTGCAAAAACAACATGGGTCAAAACAATATGTATCAAGACATTCCAGACCGGAAGGAATTGGACACGCGTTCTTAGTTTGTCCACTAGAGGGGCGTAGAGAGAAGGAAACAACCCTCATGTGAACCGAAAGTGGGAAAGTAAGCAGCAAAATATGATACAGCAGCCAGTTGCAAATTCTGAATGACAATGTTTCAGATTTGTGAAGCTGGTCTTCTTCTCTGTATGGAGGAAAACTATGGAATCAAATAGGGTCAGAAGTATCAACATATGGGAATGTCTGAAAACATTTGGGATTAATACCTTCAAATGTGTGAATGTATAATCCCATAGACCAAATAATGCAAACATTTTAATGTGTAAAGAATTACCTTTATTTTTTTATCTGAGAGATGTGTGACTATCCATGATTTTGTTGCCAAATGAAACAATTAGTAGTAATAACATTTATACAGGAGTTTATTATAACATCATAATATACGGTAGTGTAAGAGTTTTGATAGAATGTATTAATAATGTATTAATGCCATATCATTCTAATGCAGCTTTGTTGAAGGAGATGCAACACAATATTACACGCTATGTCCTTTATTCATGATTAGTATTTCATACTATCCATTTTCTTTTCATTTAATAGTTTTTTTAATGGTATTCTACATTGTGATATTTATTCAACATTAAAAACTCATTATTCTTTAATAGCATACTTTGTGCCTGTAGGTGAAAGTGTGTCAACGTTCATATTTGTTGGTTTGATCCGTTTGGGTAAACTTGAGATTCACACAGTTCTCACAGTTGAATCCTATCTGAACGTATTTCACCTGTAGGGTTAGCGCTATGTCGGGTTAGGTATATCCAGGAAAGGAATAAAGAGGGATTACCCCTGACTCTCCCCAAATTGTGTGAATCGTACACTAAACCATGTGTGTGTATTTGTGTGTTGGTGTTGATAGAGGAGACCGACTCCACTATGGGCCATGTGTGTGTGTCCATCACACTGCCAGGCCTTCCCTGCACCCGCCAACAATCCCAGGAAACTATCGGCTCCAGCAATCTCCTATTATAGCAGTGGGGTTTTAGGAGGGGTGGCGGTGGGCTGGGGGGGGGGGGATCCAAGGGGGAGGTGCAGTCCCTCCCCTTCCTCTGCCTCATGGCCTTTTTCCTGTGGTAAGTGAGGCTGTAGTCAGGGAAATTAAACAAGAATTCCATAGTTGAGGAACTGTAATAAGCGAGTGTTACATTTATGTCAAAATGTACCTCTCCAAAAAGCATCTTTCAAAGAAGAAAACGTCTGTCAGAGGAACTTTGTAAAGTAACTTGCTGTGGTCATGTGATCATCAGAAAGCTTGATGCAAAGTCTGTAGTGAGGAAAGCAGGTGGCTAACAACAGGAGCCATTCGCTAACACCACATAAAGTACAGTTCTGCTCAACGAGGAAGGAGCCGCTCGAGGTTGAGGCCAAAGGGGTTATTTATATTTCCCAAAGGAGCACTCAAACCGCAGTGGCCCCCGCGCCCCCACCCACCAATGTCACTCAAAAACACATTTTGGTTTAGACCCCGAAACCTCCTCAGCCAGTTGTGACGTATTCCTGTTAGTGACGGTTAACTTGCTAACTGCCAATAGCCAACAGTTAGCTGTCCAGATTTATAAATAGTCGGGAAGCTGTTTGTTTCATCCGTCTGACACTCGACACCAAAGTATCTCACAGATCTGCGTGCAAGCTCAAGTCCTCATTCTGTCCCCCCGAGGTGGACACTCTCTCTCTGGGACAACTTTGCTATTTCTGTCTGGTCTCCAGCCGCGGGTCCCGCTGCCCGCCTCCATGGGCAGATGCTCAAAGACCTGACTGTTGACTACATTAGAGGTTTCTAGCTTTGGATTGTTGTTAACAGAAAGCATTTCTGCCAGAAAGGGCTTGCGTGAGGTGAGCAGGCAGTGTGACATCATCAAGCCTTCTGTGGAGTTTACAATAGGGCACAAATGATGGACTATAAAACTGGAAGGTAAGACATGAGCTCAATCTACATTCTTGTTCATGCTGAAGGAGGGACACTTAAGAAGAATACATTAAAACAATACATGTACTCCTTCCACACACGCATGCCCCGTCATTTTTAGTTAATTTAAGTTGTTGAGCAAATAAATACATTCAACTTAAAGTTCTATTTGATTCCACTGACAGCATCTGGCCATATTTTTAGATAGATTTGTTTCTGCTTGGTTGTTGTTTGGAGTCACTCAGAATTAGGAGGCCTCTTTGGTGCTTGGTTGGAGGCTCGTCACTGGACAAAAATAAACTTACCACATGAAAGACTTTTTTTAGAAATCCCCTTGATAGTTTGACTGGACGTCATTGTTGGAATAATGTTACCATAGTTACCATAACTATGCATGACTATTTGAATGAAACTTTTGAATCTTTGCAAATCTTCCTCCCTCCACTGAGAGAAGAAGACGTTTCGGTAGAGATGGAGGGACGTGTTGGTCAATGCGCACCACAAACTAAAAAAAACTATACTATCAAGTGTGCTCTTGCTATAACTTGTTGCTGTTATTTCATATTTCCAGAGAAAGGTGTTGCATAACATCTTTAAATTTAATTTCAGCATCGGTTTTATTTGATAAAGACTGTTTGACTATTTGCTACAGCACTGCGCCCTGAAGCTCTTCTGCAGATGCTTGTCAGATAGATGACCTCCGGGTCAGATGATATTAACCAACGACTGGATATTCTGAGCAACGGGTGCATGTCAGCGGCTGTAAATTTAACCACAACCTCCCCATGACGTCACCTTGTTGCATGCAAATAGGCAAACATGTTTCTAAAAAAGCACATTACAATAGAGATAACGTGCAATGAGAAAGACGTATGGGAAAGAAGGGCATTGTTGAGCATTGTCTTTAACCAAGAGGTTTATTTTTAAGTAAAATGTTCAGCATAGTACAGTTGTGAAAGCACTTGCTTCAACACATACAAATAAGTGACAGGACAAGCTCACCGCTTGGCTGTTTGCAATATACAGATTTGACAATTTATGTGCCATAACATGTCAAATTCTCTGGAATCTCAATTTAGCAGCACGTACTGTATATGTAAGGATGTTCAAACCTGCTCTCCGGCTGCTCGCTGTAGTGTTGTAAAACCAATGGGGTTTAACTCCAATCGTCCAATCTCGATACACTCACACTAACTGGTCTAATTTATATAACCTCTTTGATTAGTTCGTACCTGTGATTATTAAAAAAACCAATGTCAATATCTAGCTTTTATTACAAAAGTGGTCAAAATCATTTACAAAGATACAGAGGACACATATGGCACACACATACATGTGCCACCCATGTTTGTACGGATATGTCCTGGTTTCCCAAAATAACTCACGTGAGGCTGTTTACTGCGCCTAGCAACAGTGTGGTTTTATTCCCGACGTGTCTCTGAAGGTCATAGTGATTGAGTAGAGGGATTTACAGGGCTGTTTTGAGAACCACATACAGTACATTGCTGCTTAATGCAAAGGAACATTTCTTATCAAGGCCAGGTATCAGAAAATAATCCCCACAACAAACAAGTTCCGGCTATTAAAACATGCTCTACTGCATATCTTTGAATCAAGGCTAAAATCAATAAAATCATCCAAACACAATTCTAAAACTGTATTCTAAAAGATTAAGTGCGAATGTAATTAATGTTCAGGTCCAGCCTAATTCTCCTTTCTTTTCTCCTGTAGGAAAATAACACATTCCTTCTTGTTTCCGATGAAGGCCACCTGAAGGCACGATGCCGTAGGAACCACTTGACTACTGTAGCTCTGGTGGAAGGTCGTGTGTATGATTTTGAGGTCGGCGTTTGCATGAATGACTGAGCAAATGAGCCCATAGGTCCTCGCCTACGACAACGCAGAATGACTTCCGCTGAGCTGCGCCGTTCAGGCCGCAAGAGTGCAGGTCATCGAAAGCACAGTGATGGAGGCTACAGCGACACCTCAAGCGTTGGATCCTACCTGGACGAGACTGACCGTGAGGTCAGCAACCTGACGGATCGAGCATTCAGGAGTCTCTGCATTGGAGACGAGGCGGTTTACAACGACTCAGATCTCTGCTCGTCTTCTCCGTGCGGCCAGAGAGACAGACAGCTGGCCTTTTGTCAGAGACGTCAGGACGGAGACGGAGATGACGATAACGAGAGGGAGGAGCTTGACAGGACTGTGCACGAAGGCTTCCGCCTTAAGACGCAGCAGTATGGACCGGACCAGATCCATGGCCCAATGTATGAAGCTGAGATACAGAGAGATCCACGTTGGGAGATTAATGGGGAAAGAGGGCAAGGGAGGGTTTCTGCCACATTCCGGCACTCCTTTGTGGAAACCTCTCAACAGGAAGAGTACCTGGGAGAAGAACAGCTTTCCTTCCACAGCAACGGAGCCACAGAGTCCAGTATGCAGCAACGTAGAAGCCGCTCAAGAGTTTCTTCTCTGATCAGAGCTTTTAACTCTGAGGGACAGAGGGACGGAGCAGGAATGGATGGTAAACTCAGAGAGTGGAACGATGAGACAAGCTGGGACAAATCTGCTCTGATGAGCATCCGAAGGGAACTTTCCGAGTTCTCTACGTCTTACCAGCAAAACAGTGGGAATTTCCCCTCAGCTGGTCCGTTCTCACCACATGACAACAACTTCCACTCCCACGAATTAGCAGCAGCGGCTCACGTAAATTATGCGTCGTCTTTTATAAGCTCATCCCACAATAGACAAAGCATGTCCGAGCAACACTGCCGGTCTAACTTCTTTATACACAGTGAGTTCAGTCCCTTCAAGGTATGGAGGGACCATAGCAGGTTTCCCTTCCAACAGGCCGGAGTCTCAGGGTTTGTGCACTGTTCAGAGTTCCCTAAATGGTATGAGACACCAATGTACAGGGAGCTTTCGCTGGATGCCCAACCACAGGGTCCCTATCGGTATGACGAGAGGGGTATCAGACACCCAAGAAATACCATGGCGCCCGCGGCTCCTCCCGCTCTTCCGCGCCCCACCTCAACGTCCACGTTGCTGCAGAAGGCTTCAGCCGTGGAGAAGCGCTGTGAGTCAGAGTTGACGGGTCATTACCCCCACAAGACGTGGATGCAGAGCCCGGGAACCAAAAGGTTCCCATCGCAACGGCCGTCGACCGCGTCGCCCACCAGTGAGATGTCTCGGCGCGTTCAGGACACCATCAGCTCCGTCAAAGCCCTTCAACAAAAAATCAAAATGATGACGGAGCAAAATTCTGCAACAGGGATAACAGCAAATGAACAAGGAGGGCTCTGTAGCAATGCTCCTTTAAATCCTTTTGGCAACGGCGCACCAAATGCTGTCCGCGGTGACACAAGCACGACTCCCTTCAGCATCAGCCACCTGCTAACGCCTTTAGTCCGTCACGAAGCGGAGACGACAGAGGTCCGGCACTCCGCCGTTAGCCCTCAACCCGTGGAGCATCCTCCGGTGCGAGCAGAGAGCAGGGGAGCCACGCCTGATGTTCGGGTGTCCAGCTACAAATCCAGGGCCACGGGACTACTCTTCAATCTCAAAGACAACAGGAAAAGAGTAAAAAGCACCTACAGTCCAGCCACATTTATAGGATCAGAGACCCTGGAGAAAAACAAACACTGCTCCACCCAGGAATCTAGAGATACTGTGATAGACATCCCTGATTTTCCGGATCGAGACGTGCAACTTTTCCAGGGAGAGGAATCCAGCGTGGAAAGTGCTGACTCACATCAATACGTAAACCAGTATAACATCCCTGGATGGTTTACAAGACAAAATTCTCAAACTGCACATAGAGGCCTGTATCCAGAGTACACATCAAGGGATTACCAGAGAGGTCGGATACAAAGTGATGTGGTTAATCCTTCTGAATTCACTGGCTTCTTACCTGAAAATAATTCCAGCTATCAGCAGCCGGCAAACGGACAGACTCTCCATGAAGACATATGGTCCTTTAATCCTCATAAGCAAGACAATGCCAATAATGTAGAAACTCCGGGAGGAGATCTATACCGGTTTGAGCCATCTTACACAGCTACAGAAATACCAAGGCTAAATGCTGACAACAATCAACCAAGAGAAGATTTAATAAGTAAGGCAAATGCTGAACAACATGTTAATGAAACATTGGGAAGGGAATTCACAAAGGTGGATGGATATGAGCAACTGAAAGAAAACAAACATGATTACAGTAATGTATCTTCGGAGGATAGGTGGAGACAAACAAACACAGAAAATCTCCGTCTGAAAACCATCTCTCCATGGAAACAAGAGATAACTGCTTTAACGGATAAAGAGCAACATGAAGAGTCTTACCAAAGAGCAGACGTGATGAAGGAGAGAGCAAACTCACTCAACAAAAAATACAGAGGAGAAAATCAGTTTATGGACACTTTTTCTTATGGTATAAATTCTCATAAAAAGGCTGAATTGGTCAGTACTAATATTTCAAACCAGCAGCCACAAAATGCTCCATTTTGTTATGACACTGTTGCAAGATCAGCATACAGCGGACAACAGCAACCTGGAACTTTAAAGGACAAAAGTCCACATCAAAAGTATAACGGACACATTCATGAAAATGAATTTAAGGAAAATAATTTGACACAGAAGTATAACAGACATACGGATCAACAATCTAATGAAGACAAAAGTACACAGTTACAAGAAACGCGCCGTAGAAAACAATTTACGCCGATTCCAAAGGTGTATGAAAAGCAAAGCCAGCCGCCGACCGAACAGAGACCGAGTCATGGACCTGCACTGGCAAACCAGGTACAAGTCAGGCACTTTGTCGAGGTCAGGACAGAACCGGCCGTGACAGAGCACATGAAAGTGCAACGCGCCCACGCAGAGCTGGCGAAGCCTCAGCACGGGGATCAAGTGGAGCCGCCTGCCGCAGCAGAGTCGGCTGGGTTAATTTTAGCAGGGACGACTGGTCTGGAGAAAGTCAGAGCGGATCAGGCCAGAGCAGAAGTAACGGGGCAAAAGAGAGTAAACCCGGCTAGAGCGGAACATTTTGAAGAGGAGAAAAGAGAACAGGAAGAGTATGGAGAAAAACAACCATGTTGTACAAGAAAGGAACAAACAGAAACAGGGCAAATAAGAGCACAGAAGGTAACAGAGGAGCCTACAGACATTACGGAGGAAGTAGGAACTGAGCACGGTGTGCAGGTCAAAGCAATACAAGCTGAAGCTGAGAGACTAAAAAAAGAACACATAAAAACTGAACTGGCAAAGACAGAACAAGCTGGACGGGCGAGATTGGAAGAAGAAGTAAAACTAGAGGAGATACGAAAGCAACAAGTTGAAGCGGGACAAAAGACTGAGGTGGTTGAAGTGGAAAAGGTCAACGCAAACAGCATTCTTGTTGAGGCTGTTAAACAAGAGAGCGGTGAGGAAGAAACAGTTGGAGCGAGTCAATTTAATGCAGATCAACTTACAACACAGATAAATAAAGCCAAAGTGACAAAGACAGATCAGACAAAGTTGGAACAAACCAAAGCAGAGGCAACGAGAGACATGCAGGAGAGGTTGTCTAAAACTGCAGCAAAACAAACAGAGACACAACAGATCAAAAGTGAGCCGGGCAAAGTGAAGACAGAGCTGGCTGAAATTAAAGCAGGAGAGCAAAAAGAGAAAAGAGATCTTCCCCAAATACATCACCAAAGGGAAGACATAGATGTCACAGGGCAATATTTGGATGAAGCTAACAAAGGGTCTGAAGAGTATGAGCGTCTTCGACAGAAATACGGTTTCATTGATACAGACTCTGTAAGCAAAAACAAAGCATCCGCCACAGGAAATGTTTCCTTGAATGGTGCAACAACAGCCGCATCTGTCGTTAAAGTTGAGACGACAAATAGCGAAAAATCCAAAAACAGTTCTAGTCCTAGAAGCAAAGGTGAGACAGCCAACACAGAAGAAAAAGAGGAAGTAGGCGTTTTCAAACCCACTGAGATGAAAGAGAGCCGGTTTGTTTACAGTGAGTCATACAAAGACTTCGAATTATCTGGTGGAAATCATTTACCTAAAAATGTAGATAAAATGAATGATGACAGTGTTGAAAAGTTGGAAAAGTGTGACCCCTTGAAACAAACTGATATTTCCCAGCACAGAGAGTCAATTCAGTTCAATTCAGCTCAAATGCTTCATCTTGAAAGAAACCTGAAGTCCACTGAACACAGTGCAGGTCCGGGGAAAGATCAGCACTTCACTCCTCCCAGGGCATCGTCCAGCAAAGAGAGAGCTCAGACCAAGCAAGAGATTCTGACCTCCAGGATAAAAGCTCATGCTGAAAAAGAGATTTCAGCTATTAAAGAAAAGGGTTTTGCTGTAAGAGACGGGTTTATCTTCAAAAATTCTACAAAGCAATTATTAGGTGGTCTAAGTTATAATATACGACAAATGCCTCCATCACAGGAAGTGGCTAGGAAGCATGAAAGCACTATACCCAGTAATACAACAACGAAGCGCCTGATGGAGCCTCCAGGACTACAGACAGAAACAATCAAGTCTGTTTTACCTCCCAGCTCGGCTGCATTATCTGTTAGGTCTGCAGCAACCAGCAGTCAGCTAGTCGACCTGCTACTAAAACAAGGTCCTCAAGAACCAATGAAGAGCAACTATGATGCACCAAAACCACTCGGAGAAGAAAAGATGGGGAGTTATTCCATGAGCACAAATGAGGACATGGGAGAAAATCAAAAGAAAGATAAACCATGTGAAATTAAGTCAACAATACAAAGTAAAGAACAACCCTCCAAAAACAAGCGACGCAACTTGGAGGCCAATCAAGGAGAAACCTCTGGAAAACCGATAGAAGAACACATCAAGATTCCTGCCACAAACACTGACGATTTGGACAAAAAGAAAGAGGATCCATCACAAGCTACGGCTCTGGTCAAAGCAGACGACTCTGAAAGCATAACGACAGAAAAGACTGAGAGTGAAGCTGAAGCAATTCACGAGGACTCAGCACCTTCAATAAATCTGGTCTTTGGTCAGAAGGAGATCCCAGCCGCAGATGACAGCTTGCAGATTATGGGAATAATGGTAACTGTGCGGGAAAGAAAGCGAGCTACGGACAACAGTCCGGGCAAGAGCAGCATTCAGGAACACATGACAGTAAAAGAGTGCAGTAATGCAGAGATGGATAGATTTCATCCTGGCTCGGGTCTGGAAGTAAGTGATGGAAATACATCTCCAGAAGAAGTTAGTGCTGTACAGAACACTCCTCCTGCAGTGAAGCAAGATCCAACTAGAGTTGATAGTAATGCTCATCTGCAGGAAAATCCAACATCAGAGACAAGACAGAACAATGTGTCTGAAAACATCAGTGGGAAAAGGGCTAATCACCAGCTGGAGAGTTCTTCTATAAATGCTAAGCCACAACTCCACGAACAATTGGATGAACAACCTGTGCCCTCCTCAGTCATGTTAGCAACTAAAAATGAAGTGGCTGAAATTCAACCCCTTCTCCGCAACCAAGAAATAACGACAAGTCAAACAAAATACAACACAAATGAAATGTCAGAGGAAAACTCAGGAAAGAGCATATTGAAAGATGAAGAAAAGAGATATACTGAAGAGACGAATCTTCAGAAAAGGCAAACAACACATACACAGAACTCTATGGCCAAAGTGGTGAATACAGTAATCAGCTACCCAAAAGATTCAAACGCCGCTGATGCTGCAACTCTCATCAAACGCGATGTCCAGCCATTAGTGAAAGAGGAAGAGACAACTGTCATAAACGCATACAAAAGCAGGAACGCAGAAGGCGAGCGTGCGCTCCCCGCGGAAGAAAAGGCCTCTTACTCAATTACACCAAAGCCGAACACCAAACATCAGAACAAAGAAACACTTATTGGAGGAACTGATCAAATGCATGATAAAGTGCATACGGGCGCCATTGCTGTCAGAGTTGCAACAGCAGTAACTGAGAAGGACAACCCAAATTTGGCGGGAAAACATCATGTCAACCCTGTTCCTTCTGACTTGGTTGCTGCTAATGAACAAAAGCAAGTTGGTTCATCGGTTCTTGAAGAAAAAGTAATCTCTTTCAACCATGAAGACAGAGGCAAAGACTTTATTTCAGGAAGAAGTGAGAAGCAGGTGGAAAACTGTTTAGAAGACACATCTGGAGTTCAATGTGTGTTGTCAAGTGCAAAGAAACTGTCTGATTCATTAAAAATGAGCCATCAACCGGACAACACAAATACAAACAGTGGGATTACTCAAACTAAAATGGCAAAGCCTGATAAGTTAAACAAAAGCGTGAAGTCCGTGGATGAATCAATGATACAACTAATGGTAGGAGACTACTTTCAAGTTCAAAGCGTAGCAGAAACAAGTAATGAACCACACAGCTCTGCAAAGGTTGGAGATTCGTCAGAGGCTGTTTCAAAGGGAGAGGAACTTCCGAGATTGCCACCCAACAAGGCAGCTATCTGCCATGAGTCATGCTCTGAAGGAAAACATGAAGACCCAACGTTGGGTTACAGTAAGAGGAAAACAGTTGAATCAAGTTCTGTTAGAAAGAACCGAGAAACTGAAGGTAATCCGGCCTCCAAACAAAGTTATGGTCCCTCAGAGAGATGGAGTAATGAAAATGAGAACACAGATGCAGGTCAAGCTAGTCATATCGTAAAACATCATGGAGACAATCGGTCCAGTTCGTCAGCAAGGGAAAGACAGAGTACAAGAAGTTCTAATGCAAGGAAGGACCAAAGGGTCAAAGAAAAGCCTGAAATAAAACCATTACCAAAAGAAAGGGTGTCCACAATACCTGAGATTTCAGCAATTGCAGACTATGCAAGATTAAAAGTAATTGTTTCAGAAGACGAGGAAAACGTAATTCAGGAATTCCCACCCAATAAAAAGGAGGGATTCTTTCCGCTAATACAAACTCGTCATAGCAGACGTCCAGTGTTCACTGCTGACCCACAAGATCTCTCTGTGAAGGACAAACATTTGCACAATGAAACGGAAGCCAGCCCTAAAGTGAACAAAGAGGCCAAACCTTTAGTATTTCCCATAACAGAGAAAGAACACCAACGGACAGGAATGTTCAAGCTGGCAGACAAAGAAATACAAGAGAAAAAGCCTTTGGATACCAAAATCAATGAATGTGTCCCAGACACAGGGGCAAAACATGCACAACATCTCAAAGACACAAACAAATCACCAACAACTCCCCATAAGAACCAAAGAAGTGAAGAACAGGAATCTGAATCTGGAGTTTGTCATGTTGCACAAAATATTCATCATCCAAACAATCCTCCCGTTCAAGCAACAACCTCAACTTCTGCTGTGAACGAGCAGAGAAGCACTTCTGTGTCACAACACCTGAAGGCCCTTGATGGGTTCAACGTACAGGGAAGCGCAGCAACGCAACGGCAGAGAGGAGCAAAACAGTTTGAGGAGAGAAACACTTCTAGGCTAGAAGAGGAGAAAAGAGCAGAAGACATGAGAGTGAAACGTTTGCTGGAGGAGAATAGAGCTTCTGTGGCCAAAGAGGAGAGAAGAGCCGCTCAGAGAGAAGAAGAGAAGAGAGCAAGAGAGCGGGAGGCCATCGCCATGAAAATCAAGCAGAGACGGGAAAAACAGAGAGAGGCAGAAAGAAAAGCGAGAGAAAAACAAGCTGCTCAAAAGGAAGAGGAGGTGAGAACAAAGCAAAGAGAAGAAGAAAGACAAATGCAGGAAATTGAGGAGGAGAGGTTGATGATGATCGAGAAGGGGCGAAGACAAAAATTGAGAGAGGACGAAGAGCGGAGGAAAGAGGACAAGGAGAGGAGGTTGAAACAGCGAGAGGATGAAAAGGCCGCACAAGAGGAGCAACAAAGGAGAGCTGATCATGAGGAGCATCAGAGGAGAGCTGATCAAGAAGAGCAGCAGAGGAGAGCTGATCAAGAGGAGCAGCAGAGGAGAGCTGATCAAGAGGAGCAGCAGAGGAGAGCTGATCAAGAGAAGCAGCAGAGGAAAGCCGATCAAGAGAAGCAGCAGAGGAAAGCCGATCAAGAGGAGCAGCAGAGAAAAGCCGATCAAGAGGAGCAGCAGAGGAGAGACGATCAAGAAGAGCAGCAGAGGAGAGCTGATCAAGAGAAGCAGCAGAGGAAAGCCGATCAAGAAGAGCAGCACAGGAGAGCTGATCAGGAGGAGCAGCAGAGGAGAGCTGATCAGGAGGAGCAGCAGAGGAGAGCTGATCTGATTGAGGTGCAAAGGCAAGCTAAACATAACGAAGAAAGAATACTTGCTGAGATTGAGGCGAAAAAGAAAATTAAACAGAGGGAAAGGATACAAAAACAGGAGCAGGAGACTGAAGAGCAGAGGGGACAACAATATATACATGAAGCATTCATGAGAAGTCAGAGAGAGGAAGATGAAAGGATTATAAACATGATAAAACAAAGACAAACTGAAGAGGAAAGGAACAGACGCCTGGAGGAGAATCAAGAAGCCCTGAAAGAAGAGAAGAGAGTAGCACAAGAATGGATGCAAGCTCAAAGAGAGGATGAGGCCAGGGCTGAAAACAGAGGAGGAGGAGGAGGAGAAGAAGAGAAGTCAGCAAATGACAGAGAAAAGGAGAGAGACACTCAGAAGAGGGCAGCACAGAGGATGGATGCTCTTCAGTACTACGCCATTACCTCAAAACATACAGACAGGAAGCCAAGAGAAAGACAGCTACGCTCCCCTCCACCTTCTCCACAAAGACACAATCTGTCAGGGCTCGCCTCAAGTGAGGACTCAGGATCCCACACTAGGTCTTATAGGCCACATGCTCCTGCATCTCCAGCTCCATCTCTGCCTCGCTCCAACACCTCCTCTCCCTCTCTGGGAGGCAAGCCCTTAATGTTCAGGGTGAAGGATAACACCATTAGAGGTTCTTCCTTCACCAAGTCGGTCAAACCACGCTTCCATAAGAACTTTGGGGAAGATTTCCGGGTAGGTTCACCTATGGAAAGGGGGTCAGGGAGAGAAGAGGACGAGCAGGACTTACTTAGACGCAGTGCTGGACCTCCTGGCTGCCCTGACGCAGGGTTAAAGAGAGAATCTTCTGCTCTTCAAACAGCATATTTATCCCAGGATTACTCAGCCCTTCTCCAGCAGCGGAAGCCTTACTCCAGGAGGAGCGTCGTCTTGGATGAGGACGACTCGCGTTCCGTCATCAGCAATATGTCAGAGGGCGGGGAGAGTTTTGCCACCAGCGCAGCCGACCTGGCGGATATACGAGGCCTGTATGACTACGAGAGGCCAGAATCCGCCTGTAGTTTCAGCAGTGGAGCCTCCCGTTCTTTGGGAAAGCCTCCGACTGTCCCCCCCAAGAGCGAGAAAGCCTTGCGCAGAGCGCAAAGGTTGACGACTCGGAGAATCAGGAAGGAGTTGACCAAAATCGACGGCCATGCTGGAGTTGAGAAATCTCTTCAAGACGTCTCGAGTGTTGAGGAACGCTCCGCCAGCCACCAAGTTGTGGCCTCCCCTCATTTTTCCTCACCTATCTCCCTTGCTCATGCCCCAACATCTGGGTCTGGCTTTCCCTCTTCGTTCACAGAGCACCTTTCTTCTCACAGCCCATTCTATGCTTCCCCTCATGCCACTGGTCCTATCTCCCTCCCATTGGCTTCACCTCATGCCGCCGTTTCCCTCCCCGATGCCTCTTTTAAAGCATCTGGCACTGCTTCCCACTCTGCTGCTCCTGAGACGATTGCTCATGTTCCTTCTTCTCCAACTCTCTATCCCGCCAACCACCAAGCCCCAGTGACACAGTACCATGTAGAGTCAAGCTACCCCCACTCCTACCCACTGACCCAGCGTAAGGTGCTGCAAGACCTCGGCTCTGGTCAGTATTTCGTGGTGGACGTGCCCGTTACAGTGAAAACGAAGACGTTCTTCGATCCGGAGACGGGAAAGTACGTCCAGTTGAATGTGCGCCAGTCGGGCCAGAACTACGCCCGACCTCAGCCCCAGCAGACACACCCACAAGCCCAGCTCCAACCCCGAATGCACGGCAAGCCTCAACATCAGCCCGCGGACCCGTCAGCTAGCAAGCCTGCCGTGCTTCATCAAGGCAACCACGATCATCCCCGAGACCACCAACCTCCAGCCGCCACCTCCGTACCCCGCCACAGTTCATCACCCCCCTCGACTCTCCACCAGGACGAACGTCCCGTGGTGGAGAGCCACGTTCACGGATATCCAGCCCATCAAATGGGACAGAAATGTGAGGGGCATCGCTACAGTCCAGAGAAGGCTCCATACATGGACACGGCTAATGACAAAGGAAAAACATGTAGCACAGTCTACAACGTACATGGACCAAATGAGTGGTGCCCGGAGAATGATGCAAACGGCCGGCGCGCAGGAGGCCCGGTTGGTGAAAATGATGACTCAGCCCACTCCCAGTGTGAGCCCCGAGATATAATAGCCATCAGCGAACTGGAAGACTTTATGGAGATGTCTGACTGGTGAGATCAAACAAGCTTTTATTTAAAAAGGCTTAGGGAAGAACGTGTTTAGTAAAATAAGGATAGCCAAAGCAAAAGGGGGATGATAATTCATTATTTGTAAATGACTTTTTCAAGTAAACACAGTCACTGTTCACCATTCCATTTGACGTTTGAATGTGAGAAGCTACGGTATGTCTCTTGTGTATAAAGAATAATCTGCAGCCCGCTGCCTCTTAGAAGTACTGCATCATACGTAAAACAGAAACAGTGTGAGTAGTTGGAAGAATCATTGATTTCTGCTATGGTCTGCAGGTCTGCCTGAGTTTTTATTCATTTCTTTCTTGCTGGGGAAAGCCAACTTCTGACTTTTTGTGATGCATGAAATATTGTCCAAGCCACAGCATCAGAGAAATATGAGCAGATGGTGTACAGAGTTTTTGTGTATTCAACCACTGTGTCAAAGTAAAAAGATGGTGGTGTGATTATTGCTGTTTTTAAGGTTTTATTTCATACAGTAGTCATGTTTAAAGTTGGGAGTTTATGAGACTGATTCTGTGGTGCTGTGAAACAGAGTAGAATGGCGTGTTCTAATTCAGGCAATAAAAACACACTTCATTAAAACACATCATTTCTAACCATATAATTGTCTTTCAAAATGATGCTTTTAAAGGTTATAAATAAACAAAATTCAAATATAAAACATTGCTTCTACGTGCTGATTTCATTTTACTATTCCGATGGCTGCAATAACAAGGAAATATCACTACGACTGCCGTCCTGTTTTTTTTTTTTTAGAATGAAGGGACTTTTTAGTGCACAAAAAGAGTGCACAAGGCAATTACAAAGTGTTAGTAATATGTCCTGAGAGAGTTCGTTAACATAACATTTTTGTTAATGACATTTGTGTCTTTGCCTAGTACACCTTTGGGATCCGATGAAGAAGATGATCGTGTGAAAATGTACTTTCTTTGATTTGCCTCGATTCACCTACTCAGGTTAAATATACATGCTGTGGTGAGAATTCCTGCACACACACACTCCCATGCATCGAAATATTGTTGATCCCCTGAAAGCAGTAACCTGCTTCGACCACTGCAGGGCAGAGAAGAGCAACTCCTCCACTGGAGCTACATTTAAACTTAACATTTATGTAAAGGAAAACTTGAGGGAAACCCCAAGTAGAAGATGTAGTTAAGAAGACGAAATGTATATAACTGTTAATTTGGCATTTTTACTCAATTGATAAAACGACGTGGCCAAAACTAAAGCTTCTGTGAAGGTCAAAAAAAAGATTAAACCCAGCCAGTTCATTTTCTACCAAATCCATGCGTTTTAAAACAATAAAACCGTAAGGGTTAAATCTGTTTTGTAATTCTCTTCTGGCTTCGACAGAGCACAAAGCGCCAGCAGAAGCCCTGCCTCAGCAGTTTAGCCTGCCCAATAAAGCAGCGGGCCTCATACCATTGGGACGGGCTGACAACCACAGCCAGAGACAAGCCCATGCCACTCTGTCCTGCAGCCAGACAGGGAGAGGTCCCAGCAAACGCACACACACACACGCACACCTCCGCATCCATGCACGCAGACACAAATACAAAGCTCCACATGCATGAACATTCAAATTTGCTCTTTGAACACTTTATTGGTAGATATCAGATGAGGATTAGTCCCAGATTCTGAGAGTAACTTGGGAGATGGAAATGCAGCGATGTCAAGCTCTTTAATGTACATCATCTCTCTAAATCATGCACAATGAGACAAGCGCACGCACACACACACACACACACACACACACACACACACACACACACACACACACACACACACACACACACACACACACACACACAAGACCTGGCCATCACTTTAGAGTTCTGGAGTTGGGCTACAGTCCAAGACTCTTCACAGGAGTACAGGAAATGACATTTCCTACAGTTTGCCGGACACAGAGAAATAGACAGAGGGAGGGAGAGACTGTCAGGGAGGGAGAGGGAGAGAGAGAGAGAGAGAGAGAGAGAGAGAGAGAGAGAGAGAGGGAGAGAGAGAGAGAGACTACTGGCAGAGTGAGTGGGAGTTTCTAAGTTGGAACAGAGCATTTACTGTTTCATATTACACAGAAAAGAGGAGAAAGAGGAGAAGAGTTCAGAGTGGGCAAGGGCTGTCAGGGTGCTTTGAACGTAGCTGCTCATGTAGGGGCTTTGCAGTTGTCTGGGTTTATGGATTCGTTGATTGTGGAAAATGTACTTCTCTATAGTGGTTCTTGTCCTGACTAAGGCTCTGGTCACAGGTAAGTTTACCTTGTTTACAGCAATAACCAGTATGAAAGCGAGCAATTAGGCAGGAAAGAGAGTAAGTGAATGTGTCTAGAGTAACTTCATCGATAATGTTCACCACTGTGAAACATTTTGAGTTTACTCTGTAGCATGAAAATAATGTCAGACTGTAAAAAAAACACATCCTGATAGTCAGTGTCTCTACAATAACCTAAAGTGTACTAATTACCAACACATTGACATAACCAAAGGTTATATTTCTAACTGGGCTAAAATGGCTTTGTTTAAAATCAAAGCAGCTGAGTTAAGCAAGTTTGTTCCCTGTGATCAGTGGAAAGCTCTGTGTAATTTTCCTTCTATTGACAACCACTGAGTGAACTTATGACTCCTTCCCTCCTTATAATCTTTCTATTGTGTTACACTTTGCATTTGATTCAAGTCCTTCTTTCTGCTTTTGTGTTCAAATTTAATAGTCTAGAACTTTGGGGAGATTCCATGACTAACACCGCAACAAAAAAACAAACAACAAACAGCAAGGCAGCCCAGATGGTCCCTGTTATCTTTTTGTGTTTCTCTTTGCCTGTTTGGGGCTTCACCCTACTGAAGACAAATGCATCCCACCTGTAGATCCTCTTTTCCTGCCAGCCAACGCATATTGTGTGCAGACTTTGTGTCTCTTCTTGACAGACTTGAACCAGCTGTCGGTAGAAAGAAAAAAAAAAGTACCTCAAGGGAAGTGAAAAAGGGGGGCACACAAAGTGTGTTTTAGTTCTCTGACTCTCAGTCCTCTCACATCTTCTAGCTGTTACGGACTGAATTCCCATCCAGCGATGGAGCCTCATAAGTAAAACCATGAATCCAAGCAGCCACTGTGGGTTTGCATATAAACATATTCTGTCTAAATTCTACAATTATGGTTAATTGGCAGGAAATCAATCATCTTCCAAAAAGTAACTTTTCCCATGTGAGGCTCATTAGCAACTCTACTTAATTACTAATTTAAATAGCAGGGAGGGGGTCACACAAACAACCAGTTCACAGTGTTCTAAATGTCCTTATGCTTAGAAATACAAACACATTTTACGGTTTGGTTATATATATATATCAAACATTTATATACAATTATAAAACCTAACATCATTTTACTTGGGTCTTCTATCAACAGATGTATGTCAGGGCCTGAACGTGACCGTGACCCCTGGGCCTGTCGTCACAGTAACGGAGAAAGACAACGTGACCCTCTCCTGCCTGGTATCCCAGAGGAAGAGGAGCGGCAGCGTCCTCATCCTACGCTGGTTCTTTTCTCCCCTCGCGACTCCCACTCTCGCGCCCCCTCCGCCCCCCCCATCGCCCTCCCCACCTGCACTCGAGCCCTCTCAGTTTCTCATTGTGAAGACGGGCGTGAAGAAGAACACGCTGTATGGGAACTACACCCGTCGTTTCCCCCGGCCGAAGTTCGGTCTGTACGAGGAGACGGAGGGAGAGGTGTACCGGCTGCTGATTGTCAATGTGACAGCAGGGATGGACCAGGGTTTCTACAGCTGCCGGGTCCAAGAGATTCGCAAATACAAAGAGACGTGGAGAGCATCATCTAATGGTACCAGCACCACACAGCTGACAGGTAATTCAAATGTGACCCGTAACACATTCTGACCCCGTAACACATTCTGCCCTCCATGTCAAGCATGGAATTCATTCAATTTAACCTTTGTTTTCTTTTGTAGAGAAAAAACAAATCTATCTCTCATGGCAATCTGATAAAACAGATGGGGTTTTACTTTGTTTGGCCTTAGACAATTCATTTTCTTTTGTTTTTATACTCCTTTTTTTGTCACACCGCTGTGTAATCCTGATCACCGACAAAAGAGAATCAAACCCAACGAGGGAGTTCTGGAGTTATTAATCTCACAGGGTTTTCCATGGAATGTTCCTCTCCAAGCACTCCCTCTGCAGCCACACACATTCAGCTGAAACATGCTGTCCGCGTTGGATGGAAATAACGACATACAGGAGGAGCAGTTTTTTTTTACTCTAGCTGCGCTTTGCTGTATGTGTCTGACTGTGACCCCAATCCTCTGGCATTTCCATCTGAAAACAATGAGCTCACACAGCCAAACCGCATTCAACAGTCTCCCTCTCTGTGCAAGAGTGTGAGGAGTGTTGCTGAGTTGGGTTTGTTAAAAAAAAAAAAAACACTGCATACATGACGTCAGCATTATGGGTTTACTTTAATGCAAGCCTCAGGAAAGAAAATTACTGGAGAATTTGGTTGCAGTGGAACCTAACAAACAACTTGAATTAATCAGGTTAAAACATGTTTTAATCACATGCAATAACATCTATTTCTTTACACTGCACGACCCTTCGTCTGATTTACCTGCATGCTCTGGAAGGCCATCTGTCACAGTGTGATGTGGATGAACCTGTTCGTTAGATATCAGAGATGCTGCTATACCAAGCTAGCGTGGCTTCACCTGATACCATTGCACAGTTTACGTTTGACTAGTTTTATGTTAGAAAAGCGGCACGGTGTGAGTCAGAGAGAGAGAGCGATCTGACAACGCCCTGCCCTATATTCAGGGCAACGTCCCGCTATGGAAGCCACACAACCTCAGGCATCTCCAACATCCGTTGACCACAGAACAAGAGACACAAAGGCTGGTATTGGAAGGGTAGATTAAGAGAAAACTGTTCTTGTAATCGTCATACAGGGAACCCCTGTCTCTGCATTTCAATCTGCAGGTCTCAGAGCAATGACCACACTACACTCATATATAAGTATCAAATACGTTCGTACACTCCCACATCGCTCAACCACAACTATAGAACTAACAGTTGAGTGATTTCTGCTTTTCTAAAATGTAAAAATCTGAAAGAATCGTATTCACCCGTGCTCTCCGACTAGCTTTTTAATTAATGCCGTTTCGGCGGTTGTTGTTTTTTATGACTCGTCTTCCCAGCTGCACTGATGGGGGAGAGCAGATGAGCTTAAATCTGTACCGCAGGGTTTTTTCATGAAAACCATTATAAACTTGAGCCGGTGTCGACGCATGTGTAGAGAGTCAGTATTTGAATTGCTCCCTAACAGCCAACCTGTGAAGCGGAGGCCAGTGTGATCAGATGTGCGGTTTGGCCTGCGGTTAACCAAAGTGTAAAAGGTCCGATATGTGGTTGACTTACTCATTAACTGCTCACATGGTGGAGCGATGCCTGTGAAATGCAGTCCGTCACCTCTTCAGATAAGTTAGCCGATAATTTGCAAGTCTGTCATTATTTTCCATTTAGTGGTTGACGGTGGACAATATAACGGGAACACAATGCAACCTAATAAAGTCCAGTAAAACACCATAGTGTCCCTTCATAATGTTCCCAACAAAATATTTATATTTATATATATTTAGGAATTAGGAAGTCAGTATACAGCGGTGTGTGATTTCGCACAAAGCCTTCTACTTCCTTAAAATCTCTATGATCAAACCTTTGTATTAACCTTGTTTCCTGGACTGGATACATAAATTACAAATAACAAGGTTTACAAAGACAAAATCAAACACAGTAGTATCTTGAAACACACATGACTGGTGTTGCGTTAGACATCTTCCATCTGCCAGTAAAACTGAACAAACGTTAGTTGATTCAGTTTTCCATTTTTGCTCACACAAAAGCCATTGTGTTGCTCCCTGACGTGAATTAAAGACTATATTCAGATTGAGCGGCCGAGACATTTGACAATTCTGCAGGCAGATCAGCAGTCTAGAAACAGGCTGGAAGTCAATTAGAGTTAATATCTTATCATTTCTTATTAATATGTTTATCAACCTGTGTTTAAAAGACATATTAAAAACCCATTATGGGAACACTAAGTAATTTATGTACATAGCTTGTGCTCACTCTCTCCTCAACCTTTTGCTAAATACCCCTGACCTACATACAACCCATCACTCATTGACAAACATTGACAACAACTTCCTTCTTCCTTCTCTTCTCACACTTGAAAGCAAACAAAAAGACAGTTGCAACATCAAACGATTGTGAATCGACCAACAAAAGGAAGTGGCGACGCAGAGCTATGGGAAACCACCAAACACTGTCCAAGAACAGCAACGCAACAAGGCCTGTGTGTGCGTGTGCGTGTGCGTGTGCGTGTGTGTGTGTGTGTGTGTGTGTGTGTGTGTGTGTGTGTGTGCGTGGTGGGTTTGGCCGATGCTGCAGCATATTCTTCCTTCATGTGCAGTTTTGATATTTATGGAAACCACTGAGGCTGTCTGCTTTGTGGGGATTGTGCCATCAGACAACAGCAATTTCAAAATGATTTTTTGTCCGGGTAAAGTTTTCTACCCTCGACGTATTGTTTTTGTATTGCTCACTGGTCTGGTCTTTTTGTCACATTCTTCTGCAGTTCACTTCACTCTGGAGATCGGTAGCAATGACGGACTGTGGCGTTTGTATGCAGGTACTGTTTAACATTTATTCTTTCTTCTGTTATACTTCACCACATATAAGTTCCATGTTTTTGTTTTATAGATGTGCATTTATGTGCTGTGCTGATTTGCTCACTGGGCCTGTTGTCCATCCTCCTGTTCACTGTGGTTCTCACCTGCCAGTACTTTCACAGAAGACACCGGCTCAAAGGTGGAACCGTTTTTTCTCCTTTGTCAGTAACGTCACATTTATAACCTTGTATTTCATTTTTTCTATTCAAAACAGTAGCTGGACAACTTTGCTAATTTAAAAATCAAGAATATCTCCATCTGCTAATTTCTCCACAGATAGATACCTTCTAGTGAAGTGTCCAGAAAGCAGGTGCAGTTTATTTTATTAAAACTACTAAATCATTAAAAAATTACTGATTATTTTTTATGATTACTGGTTGGAATGCAAAATTCAATGCAATAGAGATTAACAACTGATCCATTGGATAAATAATAATTAATGTAGTTGACACTTTAACATTTTTGCCCCCTGCAGCTCAGGGGAGACTGTGACCAGCTCCAGCAGTTCCTCCAGTTCCTCCCCGAAAGCCCAAAGGAAAGACACGAGACAGAAACCCAAACTCCCAGACGTCCCACCAACTCACATTCCAGCCAAAGGTGAGGAAACATTTCAAGTGCTGACTGTATTCTTTTTCAGGGAAATTTAATCTTTCAATAGTTGCCCAATTTCTATGTACGGTGGTCTTAAAATAAAGCAAACCTGTGACCCCATGTTACTGGTTAAACAGTGTGGAAATGAGCTTTAAGCAGTTTAAAAAGCATTTTCCTTTTCAGAATGTTAGATTTAATGTCGTTTTATTGGTCCAGAGACGTCCAATACTTCACAGAAAGGTGAGAAAAAAAGGGACTTTATGACTTTGATCAATAGATTAGAATACAAATTACGTAGTGAACTTTATATTGATTTATCAATATTGAGTAATCACCACGATATTTCAGTCACCTTGGTTGAGTGGTGCTCAGTGGCTCAGCAAATAATACATTGAACATATAGAAAGAAAACATTTAGATAATTTGAATTTCCCCTCATATCCAAACCAATTGAAGACAGAAGTCACAGGGTGGTGGAAAAAAACAATTAGTGGGTAAAGAAATCTCAAATAAATGAGAAAGTACAAAAGCGGAAAATTATGTCTAGCGCGATTCAATTTCCTTGGGAAAAAAAATGTTTAGTCTATTTAGAAACTGGAGACTGAAACTTTATACTTTCTCAGGTGAGATCCAGCTGATATTTGATGTAGAATCAATACTGATAATGAAAACATTACGAGGGTCCAAGGGTGTATGTTTCTGTAAAAAACTACACTTTGACTAGATTTAGTATAAAAGCTGTTGTGAAGGATTCTTTCTTTCAGCCACACGGTCCTCTTAGCTGCTTGGTCTCTTTATTTCAGTGCCTGTTGCTGTAAAGAGACCTCAGAAGCCCAAAAGGTTAAAGACTCAGCTCAGGAGGACCTCCACTGTAAGTCAGACAAACACACAATGTCTACTTCACTCACAAAAGCCTTTATGAAGGATATTCACTTAACTCTGCAGTTACAATAATTTATTAACATTTTGATGAAACTAATTTCATGCGCAGAGTTGTTATTGAGGCAAATGCAAGAGGGAATATGTCTCATGACTGCACGATTTTCTACAGGAGTTTATTGCCGTCGCTTCATTCGGTTATGAGCTTGATAATTCTATTTTGCTTTATTGCTTCTCAAACACAATTATTTATTTAGAGTGCTTCAATAGTTTTACATCCACAATAAAAATGTCAAAGAAATATGTAACTACTCAAACTAAGGATCATCAGTATCTCTACTAATCTCTGTGATGGTCTAGTAAAACAAAACACACGAGATTTTGCAGGAACATATTAATTGGATAACTGCAGGAGAACTTGATGTTGGATAAGTCTGTTATTGTGACAAAAGTCTTTTGAGTAAACAGAATGTTCCACGATGTCCTGTAAACACATGGGTTCTGCTGCTGAAAATAACTAAATGGATGCTTTCCATTGAATGTGGAAATAAATAAAAATACAAACTTTACAATACTCAACGCAGACAGGTATTTATACACATACTTATAAACACCTTTAAAAAATGCTCATTGTGTACATTTTGATATCAGATACATTTCCTCTATTGCCTTACCTCTGGAGTATCTTATCCTTCAAGATTCGCTCACTCATTCCCTCCCTCCTTCAGCCTCAGGTGTCACATGAGGACAGTCTGACATATGCAGAATTGGAGCTGGTCCGACCGAGGCCAGAGCCCCCGGCCTCCCTCGGTCCCGACCCCGCGGCCTCCGGATCGGACACCGTGTACGCTCAGATCGTCTTCCAGGAGAAACAGCTGTAAAAGGAGCCGCTCTGGACACTTGAATTCCATAGTACATCCAAAGGAGGGCAATCCAACGGAGTGTCGATCAAAAGGACAATATTTATGAACTTTCAGTGTGCCATTATGGTTTTGTTTCTTTGCTGTTGGTAAATGAGGGTTTTGTATTTCCTCCGGCACAGATCCATCCCAGCACAGCTGCTTGGGGTCTTATTATTTTTGTTGTTCCGTTTGTTGGCTTAGCTGGCCTGTGAGCCAGATGTTTATAGATGCTCTTAACGTTAACTATTCTTCTCAGGAGACTATTTGGATATAAACTGTTGTTCAGGCTCTTACTGCAGTATTGTAATGTTACACATTTCAAAATAACTTATTACGGTACTAATATTCCAAATTAATAAATGTATGCCCTGGGTCTTTGATTCATAAAAATACTGTCTTTTCTTTTTAAAGTGGATTAAACTTTGTTGCATTGCTCTATAATTTATTCATGGTCACAACAAGCAAATGCTTTCCCACAACAAGATATTTCAAACAGCTGCAGTGCACTCAGTGGTGCACATGGTGGAATTTGTGTAACACGGCACAGGCATGAACAGTAAACATGAATCACGCACGCAATATGCCTCAAGTGCCGGGGAAGGGCGAGGGGTGTAGGCCATTCTGTGAAGGTCAGTGTATGAAAAATGGGGTGAATATGAAAGGGTGCGGATGTGCATCATTCTCTTTCTCCACGCGCCTCTCTGTGTGAGTGGGAGAGATCCAGAGTGAGACCATCATCCCCCACAGTTCAGGCTAACTGACTCGGATGAACTCGCTAATGACTACATTTATTCAAATTAGACTAATTGTAATCATGGTTAATAATTAACTTTACAGTGCATTATAATTGGGTTAGGCTACAAGATGGTTCTGCCTAGGTGCAATAATTTATTTGATTTAATTATTCTAAGGAACCCAATGGTTTGACATTTCATATCATAAAACCAGCGACGTAGAGAGAATGGAGATGGCCGATAGCTTTGGAGAAGGTCATTGCTCGCTCTCTGGGAAGAATTATGAGGACTATTTTCCACTCTATTAAGCTACTCCACTTAGCACAATTAGCCACACACACAAAAGGTTAAAGAGAAAGACCTCTCGCTTCATGACAGAGAGGGCTGGTGCATGTGCATGAGAACAGCCGACACAGAAGGCCTCAACAATCCACCATCACTGGAAACGCTGACTTATTTATTAGTGCAATTATGAAAGAATGTATTGTGCTTTTACGCTGAAAGATATAGATCAATGTTTATCTGTCTGATGTGGCTGAAAAGACACACACACACACACACACACACATGCACGCACAACGAGCAGGAAGCCTTAACAAGGTCCAAACACATCCATGAGAGACATTTTCCATAATCATGAAAAGCATTCATGCACTCCACAAAATCATTGTGGAAACAGAAACAAAGAAAGCTCAGTAAACTATTTACAACTAATTAGAATTAGTTGAACATTCAGAATTGTTCATACCGCAACCATGAATCAGAGCACTTTTATGATCCTTGATGCTTGTTGGGCATTTGGTGAGAAGTGAACTGCTCCAGCTCGGCAATGCTTTCAGGAAGCTCCTTTCCTGAGGAACATTGGCTGAGCATGAAGTCATCGCTCACAAAGGTTCCAGTTAGTTCCACTGCAGGCGTCTGCTGTGCACACTAGTTCGCTTTGCTGGAGCACCAACAGCTAATTTAAATGATGGGCATTTTTAAATACCTACAAATTCACCCGGGAGCAATGCCAGTGTCCTTCTGAGCCTTTATGCATCTCAGATGAAAGCCTACATCTCAGTTACAATCAAAATCACAGACACTCCCAGAAGAAGATTTATATCAAAGCATTTGCAATAGTTTTATTCATTTGTTGAAATTCAGTATTTACAAAATACAGAATTAAATATCAATGCAGGAGATAAAATATTCTATACGGTCAAAGATTTGAACGTACCAAATAAAAAATGTAACAGTTCTCGCTGAACGCACAGAACAGAAGTCACATAAGGCAGGTGGTCTCATGGCTCAGACATGGGACACTGATGGACTGCCCTCACTCACAGGTCCAGGTGAATACTCGGCCCCAGGCATCGCCTGCCAACAAAGTCGCATGGCTCCTACACAGGAGAGAGTGCGCTTAAAATGTGAAAATCTTTGAAATCAAAAAATATATATATTGTAAGAACAAAGGGATTCAGCGTACCTGGATATGCCCAGCGCTGTGATGGCGGGACTTTTCTTGCTCCGGCGCTGCGACGCGGCCTGACCTCTGTCCAGCTCCTGACACAATACCAGATGTCTCTCCCAGCCGGTAACGTGGCGTGAGCTGCTCACTGTGGACACATCGTCAACTCTTATTCGTTATTATCACAAGGTGGGGGCTTACCCTGTCCGTAACCCTGACCCAGCAGTCCCCGCAAGAAAAAATATGGCTTTTTTATATGCGGTCAGCGGGCCGCTCAAGGGAGAAAAATCCCTCGAATATAAATGCTTTAGTGTTACGTAAAGACTTGCCTCAATGTAATTTGCAAGGCATAATACTCCTATGAGGTGACGCGGGGCTGTAACCAACGTATGCCAAATTGGATCTGGGTATTATTGCTTTCTAAATTATACACGCACACACGTCAGCAGAATTACTCATCAGTGTTTACTGCCTCTATGTTTAATAACTTTATAACAACATAATTCCTGCTAGCCCTAATGCTAGTGAGTGATGGGGTAAGCATTACAAGCTCTCATCTGGAACAACGCTTTCTAGCTCTGAGATGAGCGGTTAAAAATAATCATCTCACACTTAAGGATGTATCTAATTAGGAAGCGATGGGCTTCTTTTGAAACACATCATTTCCTTTTGTGCGGTCGCAATCGAGTCGCACTTTTTCGCTACTGTCAGACTCTCCATAACCCTTTGTAGCTTTAAATAAAATACCTATATGTATATATCCCATCCTGCTGCCAGTAACATTACCTTCTCGCTCTGTTCGGTCTCGCCCTGGGGACACAGGCTCTTCTGGAGGGCCAGGTAATTGTGTTCTTGTGTACTCTGTCTTCCATATCTGTATGAGGGACACATAACGAGTAGCAAAATCAGACATAATTCAACATAACAATCACACTCACATGAGCACCAACGACTTCGGGTACACGTCCCATAACTCATGGTAATAATAAAGTAATAATACCATTCGTGTTTGCGTATGTGTGTTGTGCACGTGATGTGGGAACCCACTCCCAAGAAAAGCCCAATTTAGAGTTTGCAGCATTGATTGCAGCGAGGCAATGTGTGCTCATATTAATGCTACACAAAAGCAGTTACACACAGACCCCCACACACAAACCATATGCTTCTTTTAATACCTTGATGGATACCCAAGCTAAAGCAATGCCTCTTTCAAGCCACATTTGAATACAATATAAAAATAAATCAGACTCTCCTGCTGATCTTTTAGTCAAAGAAAAGACCGTAAACACCACTGTGTGTTTTCTTGGGCTATGTCATCACAAGCACACAAAAGAAAATAATAATAATAACATACACGTATGACGCCGTCTGCGCAGCCAGTGACGACGACGTTCTTTGCATCCCACTCGTGTCGCTGTGTGAAGCGGACACACAGGACATCCGCCCGGGGGCCGCAGGACGTGTCGGTGCGGGTCAACAGTTGACCCTTCATGGTCCACAGGTAGAGCAGAGGTCCTGCACATGACGCAATCTCACCCTTGGTCAGAAAAAACCCAGTATTGAGGCCCATTTGCACAACGACAGGCTGGCTTTGCACACAACAACAACAACAACAACAACAACAGAACAACAGGTATGCAGACTTACAGTGAGCTCATTGATAGCCAGGGCAGAGACGCTGGTTGTGTGTCCTGCTAGCTGGGTGATGTAGCTCAGCTCCTCCATGTCCCACAGGATGCAGGTGAGATCACGGGAGCCACTCACTATCACGCCGTGGACCTCGGACACCGCCAGACACGTCACGGAGTCCGTGTGACCGTACAGCGGCTAAAAAGGAAAGTCGGGTTAATATGAGTGTGGATGTGCGTGCGAGTGCGTCGCGGGGGAAATGTTTGTGTGGGAAACCAACCTGTCTGAGTTTCATGTGAGTGAGTCTGTCCTTGTTGACAGCGACGTCCCACACACACACCACAGTGCTGGTTCCTGCAGTCACGACGGTTCTCTGGTTGGGACAGGCGGCGCACAGCGTCGCCCCCCAGTCACACAAACTTTCACACACAGCGAAGGTCTGGAGAAGCACACACACGAGTAGACCATTGTGACTGTGTGTGAATTATCTACACCCCTTTGAATGAGTTTATGGGTCTGCTTTGGCATTTTTCATAATGTATGTGATGAAGACTGTAGTTGTTAGTAACAAAATAACCTTTTTGGATCTGTCAAATTACTTTGATACTAATGCAAGTATTTATTTGTATTATATCTCTGTCAAGCAGTTGCCACAGCTAACAGCAGTGTGTAGCGCTCTGAAGTGAGTTGAAGCTTGGCAGATCATAAAGATCGCCTAACTGTTTTGATTGGGTGACTAGTGATGTCAGAGACAGCTGATACTGAAAAGCCGACCACGTGTGTGTGTGTGTGTGTGTGTGTCTGTGGCTTCACCCACCCCCAGTGAGATGTTTCATTTGTATGGTTCCTATTTAAAAAGGTTGAGCAACAATACAAACAACACAAACTGGAACCTACCGAACGGGCAGACAAACCTTTTCAGTGCCGTAGTTTCCAAAGGAGCAGCTGTAGTCAGGGAAGCCCCAGCTGAAGAAGCAGCCCGACAGCGGCGACAGGAAGAGGCGGAATCCCTCCAGGACCACAACCTCTTTTTCCAGACACAGTATCTGACCCACCGGGCCCCTCGGCAGTTCTGCAGAAAGGTTTACAGTGATACTGAGAGTGCTGCACCATCAGCAAGAAGTTGTAGATGAAAGTAAGATGAGTTGGGGTTTATTTTTCTTCATAATTTATGTCATAAAAAAAAGTTATGGTGTAAAAAATAGAACAGGTGACCTCATTCTGTCCTACGTTTACCTGAATAATCTTGCCCCAGCCAAAGTAAGGGCTTTTCAAAAACATCATGTTAAAGACTTTGGTCGCTCTGTAAACTTGTGAAGAATTTCATTAAATTGACCACAGAAAACCGGGCAATTAAAACAGCTATTCCCGGGTCACAACATGCTGAGGCTCTGTCCGGGGGGGACACCTGCATCCTGGACAGCACAAGTAATAAGCGTGTGTGTGTGTGTGTGTGTGTGTGTGTGTGTGTGATGCAGAGAGAGAGTGGCAGTAATTGTTCCTGTAAATGACCTCTTCATGCAGGAGCAGACGTTGTGTCTGTTCGTTCATTATATTCCATCGCCACCTCGGCTTCTTAAATCCCAGGAAAGAAACTATGCCTGCATGATTTTTAGCATT